AATAAAATTATTCAGCTGTGTTTTGGTGTATTTCCTCATGGAAGGCAAAGAAAGGACAACATTTGCTGTTGTTGTTTTTTTTCTCGGAATAAGGGTGTGGATACAAAATATCGTTGTGAACAGTGATGCAGGTAGGTTACCCAGCTCTGATTTTGGCGAGCTTTTTTTCAGCAGGTCTCAGTGCACGATGTATCAGCTCATGTAGATAGCGGTCTTTTTACCCTGGGGAGAATGAAGAAGGATGGGAAATTAAGGTTTGCAGCTGCTGTGGTTATAAGGAAAGGCCCAGGACCGGCGCAACACATACTGGAGCCCGGATGCAATTAAATACAAAAGGCTTCTACCCCGTTCTGCACATAGAGCAGGAAAGTAGAATTAAAACGGGCAAACACACAACCTGAGACTTAGTAACTAGTTATTTTAAAGTTTACAACTTGACTCGTCTCAGCAAACATGGCGATGATATCACTGAAATCAACCTGCCTTGCGGTGTTGTTCTCTATGGACAGCAAAGCCAGAGCTGACAGTCTTTCCTGTGACATGGTGAACCTTAGATAAGTTTTGATCAATTTCAAATTGCTAAACAAGCGTTCAGCGCTGGCGACAGCAACTGGAACGGGTTAAAACACTTGACATGCTATCACTGTGTTTGGAAACGCAGATTTCAGATCTTTGTTGACCACATACTGCAGTACTTCAGACGGAGTGTTGACTTCGTTAGGGAGCAGATGAAACAGAAACTTTAATTCAGCTGCCAAGTCTCTGCCATGAATGTCTCGTAGAAACTAGGCGAGTTCGTTGCAGGCTTCAGTTGAATTAGCCCCGGTTTTTTTCGCTTAAGAAAGAAAAACGTTCTTCTGTCTCACTGATGACAGTGTCCAGTACGCCACTGAAAAAGTTCACTTAATCTTTTCCTGTCTCATTGCCTTTTCGGCTCTTTGCGTTTCTCGCTACCCGAATTACATTTCTGGATCACTTTCATGTTGCACACTAACCGAACATAGTTTAGCTAAATGCAAGCTTGTCTGTTGCTCAGTCCTGCGGGGGAACAGGTCGCGTTATCCAATTCTACATACAGTACAGTATTTGGGAGTGAACGTGCCAAAGACCAATTGCAAATCATCCGCTCAGCCGAGTTTTCCAATAGGTCATCGTGTTTTATTTTAAAATGGGCCAGACTAGTATTGCTATTGGATAATACACCGACATACGAACTCTTGTTCGTTTATTTTACAGATGGTCTTTTCTTTAAAAAAAATCATTGTAATGACGTTAGCAACGGGCTCCCCTTAGATCTGGGCACGGGTCCGGTTGCACTCATTGCACCCCCCCGTGGCGCCGGCCCTGGAAAGGAGCGTGTAGAAATTTGCAGTGTGAAGTGGCCTATCAAGAAGGTAATTAAGAAGGGGTAATGATGAGATAGAGATCTGGGGTGAGTGTTTATAGCTTTTCCTGTGTGTGCTGCTCAAATGGCAATAGAAGTACAGGTGAACACCACGGAGCCCCAGCTGAAATGCAGACAGGAGCAGCTGTTTCAATTGGGCCAGAAACACTTTCACATTACATGTATATTACACCTGCCTTTAGAAAAAACATCTTTCAGCACGGATTTGGGAGAAATAATTGCTCAGCACTAGACGCTGTGCACTGGTGCAGTACTAAATGCCACCGGCAACCAGCTTTTCGTGGAGGACATGTGTTACAGAACACGTGTTTCGACTGAGATAATATTTTTCAGGTGATGTGTGCATGTCTGATAGCAGCATAATACATATGGTTTTAAAATATAAGATATTGTAACGCAATGGAGGCTCAGGCGGGCGCCCTTCCCGCAGTAGGTTGGCCCCCCACCATCGGGGGCTTGAACCCGGGACTCCCGCGTCACTCAGCAGGGACCCAGCTCAGTGAGCTAAAGAGAGATCTCTCTACAGGCCAGGGGCTGTGGTCCTGCTATCACAGTGAAATGCTGCATTAGAAGGAAACTTCCCACTGCCTACAGTGATACCCCTCACCCAGATAACAACGTCTAGCCTACTTGAATGCTTGAGGGCGTTAATGATAGAGGAGTTAGTGTACACAGTTAAAATCGGGGAGATTCACCAGAGCAATGATACCAAACACATTTTCTGATCATGATCAAAGCTTCCCTCACTCTTGTAACTGCAAAGATGCACCACAGGCGATGACAATGGAAGACCAGCCAAAGAGAAAGCTGCCTGGATCACACTGGGCCTGGACAACATCACCTTTCGGAAGACATGTTTGGAGGTAATGTAGGTGGTGAATTGAGGGGATGGTGAGTGGACAAGCAGGTCCATGGCTGATCCTGGTGCAGGTCCACAGTGACACAAGATCACCTGCTGAAAGCTGCTGAAGGAAGTGCAGAGGCAGAAGCTGATGATACATTGCTGACCGAAAGGTTCGAGCTAACCTGTCAGAGGAGAGATCCTCATAGTCTTCATCTATGAAGGAGCGAGAGGAGAATGTTGTAAATGGTTAAAACCAGGAGCTTTGTTCCATCAGAAGGGCAGAATAAGTGCCTTAATTAAGGAGTGAGGATGCTTATAGGTTGGATAGGTAGGAAAAAAGACAGGGAGTCTAAATAGGGTGGTAGATGTTATGATTGACCATGGTAGATTACAGCTGTTTATTCAAATATTATGAACTATCAGTTTTGTAGTTAAAAAAAGCAACAAACAAACTGATAGGTCACAGGTCAGCTGTATGATTGTATGTTTGTATGTCAGTAAGCCTTTCAACACCATATAAGCACCACATCTGGAGGTGAACAAAGGGCCGGATACAGTTAACCCACATGCCTTGGGGACCACTTAGACATCTGAAACGGAACTGCAATATAAACTGCTACCAAATGGGTGGTATTTTTGTTTTGCCTTCTAAGCAAAGTGATTTCGAAAACCAGAACACTTGAGACTTGCGAAAGCTAAAATTGCAGGCTGCATGATGAAACTGGTCAATAATGTCGAAAGGGGCAGTGTAGATAATCAACATTTTATTGACATATTAACATATGTGCATTATATTATCATGGTTAAATCACGTGAGGCACCAATACAATCTAGCTAAAAACGGAATAAATATTTCCTTTTTGAAAAGCTACAGTACCACTAGTTGTTGAGGATGTACTTATAAAATAGTTTTAAGGTTTATTTTAGGGTGTGCAATCATATAGCCTTCTGCGCCAGATTTAAGTCAGTTTAGTGGCAGTGCAGACACTGAAGGTTGTGGGAAAAATGTAACTGCCTCATTAGTAATTGAAAAGAAGAATTAAGGTCATAAACACACAGTAGGCCAGCATTTACTTCAGAGTCTTAAAAACATTTGATTTTCCTATCAATTACACATACAAGTTTGTTGTGCTTGCTTAAGTGCAAGTATCTTAGATATGTCTTGGGTTCTACACAGCTCTGTTGGGATCAAGTCAGTAATTGGAAACAATGATCTAATAGTTTTCTTTTGTCATATGAAAATGTGTCAACAAAGGTGTTTTGCTAGTGGCACTGTGATGAATTTGTGATCCATTAAATTGAATCTCTATAGGCTATAGATAAAAAAACCTTTTTGCAAAGCTTTGTAGGATCTGACAAAGTTGGGGCTAATTTAGCAAAATCCCAGAACAACCTTATAGCAGGGAATCATGGAATTAAATAATTGTCTTCTGCAGTCAAGAAAAACAACTGAATCAAAATGATTTGTTTATTGACATATTTTTTTACATTTTCCTTAAAAATTTACTCGAAGTTACCTCACATAAACTCTTCTACACAACAAACTGATACTGATTACTGACATAAGAATTACAAAGCTTGTCTGTAAATAATGTGAAATTAGATTTTTTTCATTTAAATTTTAGTTAAATAACACTTCAGTAGTTGTATGATATCAGATGCCACAATCTTTAAAAAAGATTAACTTTTTACAAATAAAAACAGTGACCAATATTTTGAAAACAAATTTTGAATAAAAAACTCCCTTAAATGCAAGGCTTCACTCCTGCTTTTTAGCAACTACAGATCCACATTTACCTTTTTGTTTTGTATTCAATTTAATAAACCATCCTTTAGATGTGTAAAATACACATATGTAAAATTAATATTTATTACAATCCATTCATAGATCTATTTACACATTACTGAGACTCTAATGCCATTTGAATTAAAAAAGTATAATTACAGCAGAAACAATCTTCAAAGCTGAACTAAATTCATACTACAATCTAAATATTGTGGTATTTCGTTAAACTGTTAATATAATAATACTGAAAAGGTACTGCCTATTGCAAGACATTTACAGCAGAGGAAATATTGGAAAGGCTTTTAGATTGTTTACAAAAAACCTCATTTCAATTTAAGTCGATATAGATGGCTCAAATATTTCAACATTGTGTCTTAATATAAACATTTTAAGACAAATCGAAAATGTAATTGCTGCACATTGTAATTTGTTCAGTCAAAGAAGAGCTAATACACAACCAAAAAGTGGTATCTGGCCTGTGACAGCAGCTCTTCTCATAATTGTGATTATGATGAATTGTGAAAGTTTTAAATAGTTTATAAGCCAACACAATGTCAATTAATGTGAAAACCTACTGTGACCAATTAGAACATGACAGGCAATTCATAGGATCAATCCTTTAGGAAAAACATACAGCTGCAAATCTGATGTATAACATTTTGCCCCAATTTGTCAAGACCAACTTATTTCTTAAACACAAAGTTTTCAAACTTCTTTGAGCTTATACTCGATGAGTGTTATATTAGATCCAATCTGGGATAACATTTAACAAATACATTACTACACCTGACAAATAAGGCAATCATTTACAAATAAGACTGTAAATTGAATTTTGTGAAACTTTATAAAACTATTTGCACTTCTCCAGTATTTCAATTTTACACTTTATGTAGGCATTTTTAATGTACACAATAAAACTATGGTATTATGCAAAGCATTCGATCTGCAAAATCATTTGAGTTTATTTCACACATTAAGAGATGACACCCAGACAGCATGACATCCTGAGACTGATTTCTGGCACGTTTCCCTTGGATTTCTGAAAGTCACATTAATTAAAGTTGTCTATCTTGTCTCTGTTAAACCGCACAAACGAATATTGACATAAATGTATATACCAGGAAGAAAGTGCCAAATGCTGAGTACTTTATTTGATTTTTTTCACAAAGCTGTGTAGTGGCCTGGTATCTTGTTGTCAATAAGGTGTTTGCTTGGCACACAGTGTCACCTGTCCATCAAGCATAGATGACGTGTTGTCACTCAGCAAACAAGATGAAGGCAGGACATTAATTACAGCTGAACTTTTAAAAACCTCCTGCCCTCAAAACTGTTGCTGCCGCAATTCCTTGATATACAGGTGACTGACCATCCAACTTCAGCTAACTTTTTTTCCATCAGCCAATCAAAATGATTTACAAATGAATGTTATTTCATTCTGGTACCCTAGCATCACATTCCACATTATTTGTCTAAAGTTCTGAAGGCTTTCTGACCAGTGTCATTATTGATGGTGTTCAAATTGCTGAATTCCTTTTCTGCGTAGGGTTTAAGTTGCCACTTGACCGTCTTTTTTTCCTCCTACAAGCAATACAGATGATGACACTGGAAATTAGGACTGTGCAGATAAGCACAATGATTATGAGGACAGCCTCCTTTGAAAGCCCCCCAGCCTGTCCCTCCCCATTGTCGAAGTCCTCGCTGGAATTGGAAGGGGTTATTTTAGACGAGGAAGTAGTAGCACTGTTCTCTGTTTGAAATGAGGAAGTCAGTAACCGCTGTTGTATTGTAGTGGCAGTGGTCAAACTGACCGGCGTTACCGTAACTGAGCTGTTGGAAATATTACTGGCTGTAACAGAAGTCAGATCCTCATCTCTGACGTCTGTAAGAGGTGTAAGCTTCAGGGAGAGAGGGGAATGACAGACAACTTGGCTGATGTTGTACACCTTAGAACGGTGCTGATTAATCCAGTTTCTTAGAGGTAAAATGTCCTCGTCACATTTCCAGGGGTTGTCAAAGAGAGTCACCTCAGTTGCTTTGTCTAAGGAGTCAAGGAGCTCCTGTGGCAAGTTCTCCAATGAGTTGTTATGGAGCTCAAGTTTCCTCAGTTGTGGCAGGTTTTGGAATAGGTATCTGGGCAAGAACTGCAAGTAATTATTTTCCAAGGAGACGTTCTGGAGTTTCAGCAGGCCGTTGAACACCCCCTCCTCCAAGGTGGTCAGCCTGTTCGTGTGCAGCGACACTTCCCCAAGCTCCGACAGACCACGGAAGGCATCTTTGGAGATAGTGCCGATCTTATTCCTGCTCAGGACCAAGAGCCGCAGCTGGGTGAGGTTGCTGAACACGTTGTCCCCAATGTGAGCTAAATTGTTGTCATACAGCCAGAGCTGTCTGAGACGCATAGGGCCAAATATACCACTGGATAAACTTACCAGCTGGTTCTCATGCAGGGATATGTCAGTGAGGTTGGGCATATTCTGGAAAATGCCTTCTGGCAGTTCTGAAATGCGGTTGTTGGACAGGTACAGTTTCTTCAAGTTCTGCTGCTTGGAGAACAAGTCAGCTGGCAGATGCTCAATTTGATTGACGTGTAATGACAAATCATTCAGTTTTGTCAAGTGATCAAAGGCGCCTGCTGGGATTTCTCTCAGTGCATTCTTCTGAAGCTTGAGGCTCTGAAGCTCATGAAGGTTTTGAAAAATGGTCTTTGAAAAGGCAGTGATATTATTCCCTCCTAAATCAAGCTTTTGTAACTTTGTGAGTTGGCGGAAAGCTTCATCTGGAATGGAGTTCAACAGATTTTCTTCAAGATTGAGATCTTTCATATTTATAAGACTGGAGAACATATCAGGATGTATCATTTGTAGTTTGTTTTTGGACAGAATAAGTTTTGTAAGATTAACAAGATTTCTGAACAATCCATCTGACAGCTCCTGTAGTGGAGTACTTGTTAAAACCAGAATCTCAAGTCTAGTTACACTGTCAAATGCACCTGGTACTATCTCTTTTAATTCAGCACGATTTATAAAAAGAAAACGCAGAGAGTCATGTAATCTTTGAAAGTCACTTGGTTTAAAAGAATTGATTTTGGTGTCCAATATGTCAAGGCGTATGGTATCCAGAGGTAGGGAGCTTGGGAATTCTGTGATAGTTTTTCCGGAACATTGCACCAATCCATCTTGTGGGCATGAGCATTTGTCTGGGCAGTTCCCACAAACGAACAATATAGCATGAAGGCTGATAAGTATATGCAAGTAGCCTGCTGATTCCATGGTGCCTAAAAGGAAATATAACAATTAGATGTATTTCAATATAGAATAATTTGTTCCTTAATATAATAGAATCCACAATTATTTGGTTTCAGCTACAATGAATGACAGTGAATGGTTTCTTGTACTTTTTGGAATTATGGTTTTCTTTGTGGTCATTTATTTTCCAGTACAGTCTTTTTTCCATTTAATTGCCGTGTCAAATGCCAGAAAGTGAGCAGTTTCATATAAAAATTGAAATTGCACATTTATGTGTTATGTAATCCCTAGACCACTTCTCTCATCATTGGTAGTTATGCAGATTAATAGGACAATTTTCCACAGGAGCACAGTAAGTGTAGCATACAGTTTCCCAGTGCCAGTGTGGAATGAGACTCAGACTAGGAGCAGCTGTGTGGGCCCTAGGCTTCATTTTACTGTAATGATGCCGGAAACCTCATTTAAGATGTCTTGCCAAGATAATGAGCTGCTTCATCCTTTTCTGGAGTACGTCATTTAAAATAAATAGCAAACTAGCCATCGTGTTGGGGAAAAAGCTCTGCTCCATATGGCTTCTGCTCAGAAATAATTACTCAAACGTCTTTTCAACTGAAAAATACCATTCTCTGCTGTCATGTAAGAGTGAAACATTTTTTTTAGTAAAAGAACCAGACCTTATATGGTGTTATATGTTTTTAGAGTCATGACCCAATTCTAACAAAAATATAATGGTATTAATTGAATAGTTATGCAGGTTTTGTCAATCTGCGTGTTGCCATAGGTGAAACGTATTTCACTGGCACTCAGGTGCTGCTGCCTCACAGCTCTTGGGTCTTGGATCATAGATTCGCTTGGGTTTCTGTTCCAGTTTCTTCCCCCCTCCCAAAGACATGCTGGCTAAATTTATCGGTGTCTCTAAAATGTCCCTGTGTGCGTGTGTGTGGGTGTCCTGTGATGGATTGCTATCCTGGTCAGGGAGTGGTCCCACCTTGTCCCAGTCTTCCAGGATAGGCTCTGGGCTGCTGGGCTTATCAGGATTAAGCAGCTTTCTGATAACTGATGAAAAATATCCAACTGCAGAGACACGCTGAAGGCCCCGTGTTTAGCTGAGCTGCACTAGATCAATGAGATCAGTGACCTTAGCTTCTTGTTTTTTTTGACAGTATTTGTTTTACTTTCAAAAACATCTTACTCCCTAAATTCCATCACCTCCCAACAGCTCCAGACAGAATACAGTCAGCATTGTCAGTTAAAAAAGGCAAGAATCAAACAGAATGTACTGAGATTATCAAGTGTGTTTTCTCTGCATTCTCAAAAAATAAATTAATTAAAAAACAGGAGAGCAATATTATTAAATACTAAATTGTTAAATGCATATGATGCAGTGAGAAAATTGGGTAGTACCAGATCAATACTTGTCACATTAGAATCACACTGTAGAGTTTCATTCATACCTACATTCACTGTGCTATGTAGAAATGAAAGGTTATTTTTTCTTTTATAGATTTTAAACTAAACTATGGAATTGAAGGAGATGCAGTCCCACACACAAAGGCAAAGTTTTCAACAGTATCGTAAATATAACTAGAATTAATGTATAACACTAGTGGAATTATAAAGTATAACCCCTCCACCATCTTATGTTACTAGCTGCATAACATATTTCTGTGTGTTACAGTTTCAAGTAGTTAAATAGATGCAATACATTTGTAATTTTCATAAATTGGTCTATGGCACTAATCACAGTACAATTGTCAGTTCTCTTCAGTTGGTTTAATTATGAAATAACCTTTTTTATTTTTCTTTGTCCTCTCTAATACAGGCAACCATGCATAATGAGTGAATAAAATCTTTTTGTTTAGCTCAGATATACTGTAAGTTCTCCAAACATGACAGAGCCAGAATCTCTTAATGGGGCAGGAGTCGACCACATTAACATCTTTCATGTCCCTTTGTTTAAACCCCATGGAGATATGGTTTGTTGTTTTCCCAGCACTTTGCTTGTTTATTTACTGTGGTCAGTGCTTGCTTTGGCTACTGAACTTTCCTGTAGAAACTTGCATTTCTCTGGAGTATTACATTTCTGTAAGCCTTGCCTGCTCAACATGAACACATTCTGCTGCTGCCACTCTCTTGTTCTGCTTATATACCACTATTCTAGACATTTACTTCTTCATTAAAGTGGCTCCTTAAAAATACAAACATCTAAAATATCTGAATACTATATATATTTATAGAATGTTTGATACTGAATGTAATGTTGGCAGAATGGGTAGAAGTCTTTCTATGAATAACAAACTTTGTCTACTATGAAAAAAAAAAAGTATAACTTCAAAACAAAATATCAAGAAAAGGTCAAAAAGAAAAGTAATGTAGTCTTATCAGAAAGTTTTACAATGAATATCTTACCATTCCACAACAAAGGATTTTCTGTTGAATACACTAAATAATTTAGAAAGTAATTTATTTGTGTTCTGAGTTACCAAGAAGAAAAAAACACATATACTCAAACCTTAAAATGTCTGTAGAGTGTAAAAAAAGCTCTAAGGATAGTATTTCTTATTAATATATGGGTAATTTCCCATTGCGAAAAACAATTAAATAGGAATAACTTACCTTTTTAAAGTTGATCTGTAGCTGCTGAAATGAACAGAGGAGTTTGTGACCATGCAGAAGTCTTTATACTCTTCACTGTGGTGTAGCTCTGCCCTGTCTCCTCCCTGCTTTTATGCATCAGAAATGACTCAGCAGTAGGGAGAATCCTGAATATTTTGGGGGAACTTGTCACACTGTGTTCACAGCAACAGCTTATTGAAGTCCTTTGTTCACTTTAAGAAGAGATTTGGTTTTCTGCTTGAACTGTTCTCTCTAGTTTGGATGCTCAGATTCTTGGACTACGTTTTGGTTGGTTTGCATGCCAGCAAAGCCCCACCCTTAATCTGCCACTCGTTAAAACATAGCAGAATTAATAGCTAGAGGTGACAGTGAGACCCCGTTTACTAACAAAAGGCTTTCTTTTGATTTGTCTTTTGTATGCTTTTGGAAAACAAAATATATCCAAAATATTAAGCTCTGAAACCCCAATAGTTTTATACGACAAATGACATGTGAATGATTAATACAGAATGAACCCAACAGATTGGAATGTTCAACTGCGACATTGGCATTTGAAAAATAAAAACGGCCTACACGTGAATCAAATATGTACATTTTTAAAAGTATAATGACATGTGAGAGCCCCCCAACACAGTAGAAACAAAAACATTTCCACCATTAAAAAAACCGTCACTCACTGGGTAAGGGATGTGGTGTACTTTCTCCACTTTGTAAAAATGAGCTTTCCCCTCCACTGCAAGTTTGTATTCTGCCTGGCAGCTCTTTTCAAACTTCTTTAAGAACTTGCAGCGCAACCCAGACCTTTAGAAGACCTTGACAACTGTTGCTTCCCTCTTCTATCCTTTCACTACCTTTTTCTTTCTTTCTTTTCCTTTCATTACCTTTTTTTCTTTCTTTTCTTTTCTTTTTCCTTTGCTTACCTCTTCCAAATCTCTGGGTTATTCCTGTTTTTATATTATTGTTGGATCTACACCCTTTGTTTTGGTACCAAGTCTTTCATGCCATGATGATTGTTCACTTTTGTCCATTATTGTATATGGTACCATATAACGTTCTTTCTTTTCCCTGAAAAACCAATAAACAAAAATTGAATGTAAAAACTGAGCAAAACCATGAATGATCGTGAATAGTGTGCAGACCCTAAAATGTGGTTCCCTCATGAGTGACTCTTTTTATGCATATTTGCTTCATAGAGTCATCTTATTGATTGGTTTTCGTTTGAAGCCTCACCTCCTGTGGTGAATATTGCAGTATTTCAGGCAAAAAGATTTATACTTTTCCAAAACAGGAGTAGGATTTGTTTCTCACTGAAACTGTATCTCGTTGTTTTTTAGTGTCAGTGAAATATTGCCCAAGTCCCCTCCAACAGCAACCTTTTTTCTGCTGAGTTGAAAGGCAGGAGGAAGGCCTGTTATCACAATGCTCTGGCCATGAGCAGAGCTTGCCAAGAGATGCACAGATAACTCTGAACAGTTGTTAACTGATAAGATCATAACTGTCATGCCCTCCGCCTGAATCAACAGAAATAAGTATTGTTATTATGCTAAGGTTTGAAGGACTTTTTACAATTACAGTTTTGTTAAAGTGTAAGTGAAAGTGATGGGCTTTGTGTTCAAAGGTAAACTAAAAGTCAGTATCTCATTATGAGCAAAAGTTTGAAATGAACTATGTTCAGGATAATATCAATTTAGCTTCTAAAAATCTTAGTCAAAAAGTATTTTATTTTTTCCCCACAGATTGTACATGATCATGATTGTACACGATACCTCACAGATGCTATTGTATGACATTTGTCCGTCCTTCCTTATGTGGTCAGATAATGGGGCACTATAAGCATGTTTTTTCATGTTTTGAGAGTGTCTGGTATTGGTTACGTCCAGTATTTTAGACAAGACTATTCCTTGAATAAGAGTATTCCTGGTGAGTTTGTGGAATTATGATTCCAATCTTTCACAGTGGTGGAAATTGAGCTGGTTGGATGGCTAAAATCACTGTGTAATTCATTGGGAATTTCCACATTCCTTCCTGGAATCAGTGAATCCTGGCATTTCTAAATATTTTGTAGTGCGTGTGATCCGTGCTGCCAGTTGGGGAGAGAATGAGCTGGCCTGGAGCTCTGCTCTTGACTGTCAGATCTAGCTGAGGTGTATGTCTTCCACTCTATGTGACCTGTATCACCTCTGGAGTCCTTTGGAGGGAGGGGGATCTACTTTGAGGCTGGCAGGGGTGAAGGGTGATGAGGTATGCGAAACATTGGAGTTTTTGTGTTTGATTTACATTCTGAAAGTTGGAATGATACAACATGTTCATCGTGCTAAAGAGATAGAGATAGAACATGTAAAATAAATACATATAATGGTTCTAAAAGTATCATACCTTTCAATGCGACCTGACACACACTCACCTTTCTCTTTCCCTTGTACTGTTTAGATATTTCTGAAAAGGTGGGGGTACAGTATGATTTGTTTCCATCTTTTGTATAATAGAGGGAACAATTGTGATTTTTGATATATACTTTTGACTAGTATTTTTTATTTTTAAAATGCTTATCTTCGTCAACCTTTTTATTTCTTTCCTCTTTTATTAACTGGGAAGGTATTTCAGTAATGAACTGTTTTTATTCTTAGAATTATTAAAACGGCATGTTTTGTTATGTTTATAGCCAATTAGTGACAGAGGTGTAACTGAAGACTTTAAATTGGTACCCGATGTTTCGTCATTAATACTGTAAGGTTTACTTTTATTAGACACAGGCTCTTTTCCTTTAGTACAGTAAACTACAAACTAGGCCTTTTATTTTTCCAGTTGCCCATCTGGCCTGCATTGTTGTAGATTGTTAGCTCTCAGAAATTAACAGAAATAACCCCCTTTTGAATATTTGATTGGTGGCTTCATAATTTATTCACTAAATATGTTTTTTTGACATGATAAATATATTTTTATTAACTAAAAATATTGGTCATTAGCCAATCTACTAAATAATTGGTCGTCTTAGCAACATTCTGAATCTGTGTAATTTCAGCCACTTGTGTCCTGTAGTCTTAGGCTGATTTGTAAATTCCAAATCTCCTAGGATATGTTAACAGTGGTATTCAGGGAAAACAAAGGAACAATGTGATCAGTGATTATTCACCGCCAAAACATATGTTTTAGCAAAATAGTGAGTAATTACTGTATAAGCAACTTACTGTTTGGCCTATTTCCTGACTGTCTGCGAGTGGGAGTTATGAAAACAAGGTTTGTTCATCACAGCAGCCTGTTGTTTCCTTAGCTGCTGTTATTACAGAACTATTAAGTATTTGTCTTTTCTTACCTTCTTCTTTAGTTCTTGCTCAAAAAAACAATTATACTTTAAAGAAAATCTTGCTTTATTTTGCATCGCTCAAAGTAGTTTGCTAAATTAATACAATTTCCTAAAAATTCCCTTTTGAAGGTATTTCTCAGCATTCGGAATATGACAACAGTTCCTTAATGTATGTTGTGGATACATTTACAGGGGAAGTGCAACGTAGGTAGAAAGAATCGGCATGGATGAGTGCATTTCAAGCCACAATGAAAGTCAAATGTACACAGTAACATATAAAATCTCCAGTTTACATCACAAAATAGATTGAACTTTCAGGTATGCGCAGTGCCATGTTCTGCAACTCATCAAAATGAGGCAACAAACTTCAGATAAGGTGAAGCGGCCCTGTCATCTTTTAAACAGCAGGCTTGTTTTGCAGACAGATACTACTGACTTGTAAACTCTTCATGCAGACCACTTTGGAACATTTCTATGGTGAAAGATCTGCTTGCCCAACCTGTACTGACTCGTTCGCATGTCACAGTACCTTAGTTATTACAGTGACTAGTGAGCATTAAGGGCCGGTTTAAGTCATAAGTCTCGCAAGCTCTCGCTCTTGCTTGTGGCAAGACCAGCAGTTTGTGTCACCATAGCAACCTACAGTACTTTCACAAAAGTTGACGATTTTGTACTTAATTTGGAATTTGTAACATTTTGTGATACCGTCAATTAATTTATTTTGTTACAGAGATTTCATAAACAGTCTGAGAAAAATACTTACACTTTATTAGCAATTGTATGCAAAAGCAGTTTTTAAAACTTGTAATACCATGGTAGTTGTATTTTCTATGGGTGTTGGTTATATTATAATATATAATATTGAGTGATGTCTTTAAAAAACTATAAGGAACTTCGTCTTTCACTGGAATGCATTGCAGGGCAATAGTCCAGTTATTGTCTGATAAAATGCTGGACAAAATCTATAAAATTGAATTAACTTTTCCTGGCATCAGAAGTGATAAATGTAAAATTGATAAAAAAGTACACAGTGTTTGACTTGACTTCCTGTTTTGGAGGACAACTGAATTTTGGCTGATGCTTCAATATTGTTGAAAGGATATTTTTGAAAAACAATCCCTGACATGTCCAACACTTTCCTCTACTGTACGCTAGAAGCCAGTTCAACTTGGCATAAATCTTGAATTTTATACAATTCCTGTTAGATTTGTGAAAAAGTACCTGCCAGAGGTTTGAGAGGAATGTTTAAGCTAATTAATCAGTAAATCAAGGAATTTAAAAAAAAAGTAACACCAGCAAAAAAAACAACGTAAAACGACACTCAAAAAACACTATATGAACACATTGTCAGGGAGAAAAATAAAGAAAAAACACTATAAGGCTGATATTGTTTACCTTATACCTTCTGTTCTGATAGTCAAAACACCTGGTGTATTAACTAGGTCATGTAGACTAGATATGATCTGATTCAGTTTGTAAAGTGCAAACACATGGACACCAATGAGAAGTAGTGCTGCAGCTACTAACAAAGCACGTATGAGTAAATGGATTGTCATGTCAGGGTCCTGTAGTGGAACAGTCCAAAGATAAACTTTACCATTTACCCTGTTGTGATGCACAATTGTGGGTCCTCTCTGCAGAGCCTCGATGTCATGTATCATCTGAAACAAGCTATCCAACTCCCTCTGCGATGTGTGGTTCTCGGGAATAGCATGGTCATAGGTTTGGGTAAAGGAAGAAGAAACAGAGAGTGTGCCAGTTGACACCAATGGCTGAGTGGTCCAGCTGCTGCTCAGTGTGGTGAGAAAATGCTTGTCAGTAGTTGAAGAGAGGGTTGCTTTTATCCCTGGACGTTCATGAGTGCTGGAAATACTGTTAGTTTTTGTCATAAAGGCAGTAAAAGTGGGTTGAACGGAGGTTGTTCCACACGGGAGCATTTCATTCGTTATTGAACTAAGATGGTGAGTTTTTAAATGAGCCGGAGTATAGCACAATACATTTTCATAGTTCGAAATTCTATGTTTATTGTTCCTTATCCAGTCTGTAAAGTTCACAATGTCGCAGTTACAGTTCCAATGATTTCCATCCAAGCTGATGTTTTGTAGCATACCTGCTGAATGGAGAAGTTCACTAGGAAGGTTTTCCAGTAAATTATTGTGCAGTTCAACGCTACTGAGTTTTGGAAGGTTTTTGAAGATATCTTCTGGAAGGTAGTGGAGTTTGTTGGAATAAAGTGCAAGGCTCTTGAGGTTTATTAGGTCAGAAAACAGGTCTTGCTCCAAGCGCAATAAACTGTTAGAATGAATAGCAAGCTTGACCAGGCTCGTCAGGCCAGAAAAGGCATCCTTTGGCAAAGTTGATAATTTGTCATTACGTGTCAAAAACAGTAACTCTAGACCTGTCATGTTAACAAATAAATTGCCTGGGATGGTAATAAGGTTTGTATGAAATAAAAGGAATTCATTTAGTCTCGGCATTTCTCCAAACAGGTTGTCGGGTAAGTCTGTCAGTGGGTTTTCGAAGAGAGTCAGCTGGGTGAGGTTGGGCAAGTGGAAGAAACTTTCAGGAGGCAGCTGGGTGAGCTGATTTGAGGAGAGAGTAAGGCTTTCTATGTTTGATAATGGCCAGAACAGTCTGGGTGGGATTTGTTGAATGTTGTTCCTGAAAAGTTTCAGTTCATTGAGGTTATGAAGGTTCTTAAAAATTCCAAGTGGAAGGCTCCTAATTTCATTGCGATATAGAAAAAGTTTTTGGAGGAGGGTAAGAGAACTGAAAATACGCTCAGGGAGGGTTTGGAGGAGGTTTTTTCCCAGGTTTAGGGTACGCAGGTTTCCGAGGCTATGGAATAGTTCTTCAGAAAGCCATTTGAGCTTGTTGTTGCTCAAATCAAGTTCAGTCAGATTTCCCAGGGGGTCAAACAAGCCTGGCTCTATCGCAGCAAGCCTGTTGTTGTCTACAAACAGTTGTGTGAGCCCAGTTTGGTTGCTAAAAAGTCCCCGTGGAAGAGTAGAGATCTGGTTGAATGACAATTTCACAGATAACAGGCTCGGTGGGTTATTAAATGTGCCCAGACGTACAGTCGTCAGTGGATTCTTGCTCACCTGTAGTCGCAGCAAGTAAGGCAACTGATGAAAACTTTCAGCCTTTAATTCCCTGAGCTGGGTTTGCCAAATCTGTAATGAGGTGGTGCCGGAAGGCAAAGCTGGTGGCACTTCAGCGATCTCCTCTCCTTTGCAATGTGTGAGGCCATTCTCATGGCATATACACCCAGCGGGACAGCTGAGTCCAAGAAGGAACTCGTCTCTCAGCAGTACGAAGGTAAGCAACAGCAGCAGCATGTCACTTAAAAGGAAAAAATGCAGATATTGATAAACTATAAAGACTTGATAAACCCATAAACATAAAGGACATAGGAATGAAGGTAAGATGAATTTTTCTTCACTGATTTTCAAACTCACCACTTAACAAATAGAGGTCTCCACTCTTGTGGGGATACTTACCATTCTCTCTGTACTTTACTGCTAGGCTTATTCTTATGGCGACCCTATGAGATACTGTATATATGATGTCAATTATACTTTTTTCAAATATTTTAAATGTTAACTCTATAACCCTACCATTTTAGGAACACGTCATGTTTAATGTCCTCATTGTCAATGCAGATTTGCATTTTAGGATTAATATTAGATTTTAATATGAATTACACAATGACAAAAGAACACCACAAATTTTGCAAGATATTTTAAAACAACTTTCTATGGTAAAACATTACATGTTGTGACTAGCAATTCAACTTTAGTTTAGAATTGAAACATGGTTTGATGAAAGCACTAGATGAGATAATTTCAAAGAGAAAATGTTAATGCTAATAAGGTTTTAATATGCAAGCACGTAAGGTGTATCAGCTCCATTATCTAATTAACAGAAATAATTACCTATTTCATAGCATAAGAGCGAATATTGCTCTTCTGAAAATCTCTCTTCACCAGTATCTGTACTGTTAAAGAGTAACAAAGTAGTTGTAATACAGGAAGTGCAACAAACAAAATCATCCTCATCCTTCTGCTTTTGTGCTGTAGAATTTTTTTGTCTGTTCTCTATCCAGTATCCACCCAAATTTCATCATCACGCTTTACCACAGCATAAAAATGAAACTAGTTAACTAGTTACTTGATGTGCACATGTTCACGGTGCAAGTGATTTGTTCATCATTCCTCTGGTACTGGCGATTCAAATTTAAACAGAGGTGAATAAGTCACAACAAGGAAAGGAAACAGGAGGGAAAGGAAATTGTGAAACAAGTTGTGAAACAATTAATTTGCACGTTAATGTATACTAGCTTTCAATAACCCATTGTGCTAATTACTCTATAGGTTTCTTTTTTTGTAACATACTTGAGCAGAATTGTCATGAAAGTGGCCTGTATTCTAGATTACAGTTCACTAGAAAGTGAAATGAACATGACATTGTTCTTGGTCTTTAGTATGTTTTAAATGTAGTTCATCCTTAATATGTTTAATAAAAAAATAATAAATGTAAGTGATGAAAATACTCAAAGTTAGTGTATAAGATTATCACTCGTTTCTTCTGATAGTTAACTGTTCTCAACAGCTGAGCACGATGGGTTAGTTTGGCTGTGTGAAATTAAAAGCCTTACCATTAAAGAGGACAGGACACCACAGGAGAGACGACTCAGACAGACTGCTTTACACATGCGAGGCCCTTCTTAAAGCATGTGTGACAGAGCTGCTGTCAGGTTTATCTAGGCTTTTGACCACACGGAGGCCCATGTTAGTGTGACAGTTTATCTCAGGGACACGTTTTTGTGGGAGAGAAACTTTCCCATATAAGGTCACTTTTGAAACAGACTGCTTCAAGCTACTGCTTAGAAGTTTTTTTCTTCTACTGGTGTTCCATATTTATGAAGGGTGAAGGCAACCAGCTTTCCTCAGCACAGAATGACATTACTTCCAGTTGCTTTTGTTTTGACCGGTTCATATTTTGTTCTTATATTTTGACAATCAGCATCATGAAAACAGGGTAATTTTCGAAGCCCACGCCACTGACCCAGTCACTGCTGTGGGGCGGGTTTTATATAGAGCAATGAAGAGGTTACCAGAATAGCTACAGTAGTAATGCTGCTGCTGCTCATGTCTGGATAACCTTTATCAAATGAGAAAGCTGCCCAGATGGACTGTTCCGTCATTATTCATCAATGATTCATCCGGTGGTGCTGTTTTAAGAGATAAAGCGCAGCAGAGCTTTTGTGCTGTTCATCATTAGAGTTAAGTACAATGTGCTCTTGTGCCTGCATGATTCAGATACATCCCTTCCTGTTATGTCTATAATGAAAACAGGGGACAGACAAGTTTGGATGATCTAAAGAGGGAATCACTTTGCTGCGTCAGAGAGGTAGTCCATAAAACGCTCATTTTGTGAGCAAAACCTTAAATGTTGTTTTTTTATATTGCACAACTCAGCCCTAAGTCAAAAAGCAGATGAACTGCAAGAACACTCATAATGGCGAAAACTAAGGACCAGCTTGTACCTCAGAAACAGAAGTTCATAGAATCAGAACTTCATACTTACATAAAGTGTATGCAGATTTACATCATATCACTTCCCAATACACACGTATCCCTTTCAGGGTCATGGTTATATACAGCTCATTACGTAATAAACCAATCAGGAACAGCTGGTCCCGATTTAAAGAATGTAAATGAAATGAACTTTCTGATGACACCCGGAGTCTTTAAATAACTTTTATTTACAAAGAGAAAAAAAATTAAATCAAGCTTTTAAAATTAGAAATCATCTCAGGAAAAAAAAAAGTATTACAAATCAAAAATAAATACAAATAAATTAGGAGTAGAAAAAAATCTAGAATTTATGTACATTTTTCTGAATGACACAACACAGGGGGTAACAATGTATACAAGGAAAAAGCACACATGGCAAAACATAGTAAAATTTGTACTTTTGTGGATTACCGTTCTGTCTTGTTACAAATACAATAATTTCCCTGAGGGCATAACCACAAGCTGCATCAAAGGCCTGATTCCCGACAACTGAAGCGTTGGTCAAATTTCTTCCTAAAATGTTTCTTTACACATCTTCATTATTTAGAAAATGACATTTAAAGAGGATAGACACTGACAGCTCAGATTTGAATGTCTGTACCTTATAAAGAATTATATTCATCAGTGTATATATTTATGATTGCGCAGTGAAGACTAAAAAATATTGCATGTTATCCAACTTCCCATGAATTACACTTTCACAACTGCATAGCATCTGTAAATGTAATCTAAGGTTTGTCTATACTATAGCATTAAGCATTTTCAGTTTCTTTTGTTTACTATTGAGAATTCACATCCTTTTTGATTAGCGAAACAGGTCACTTGCCAAATATAACTGTACAAATGAAATCCTTGTTAACACACAATGTAGGACAGGATTTATATCTGATTTTCTGTATTTTTGTTTGCTGCCCAACAAATCCCTTCAAAAAGAAGCACATTGCATATAGAACAATAGTGAGATTCACAATTGATCATTTACATTATACATGTTCTACTGCATGAAGAGGGGTTAAAGAAATTAAAAATATTTTCTAAACCTACAGTAATTTTGCACAACGGCAGGTACAACGTTGATATATCCATTTCTAGATTATCAGGTGAACTTTTAACCTTTTCAGTTTTTCTCAGTTTTCATTTAACATTCACATAACACGAAGCTCAGAAATACTCTCCCTATTGCAATAAAATTAACAATTTGGATAATCGGGCACAAGGCTAACAACTGTCCTGTAAAAAAATAATGTTACAGAAACAGCAACAGGATATTTCTGCCCCTACATGCCGGAAGGCAAACTTCCATCCATACGATAAGTTGACACTGGCATTAAGTATTTGCCACGTATAGCAACAATCGGATGTTTCATGTTCCTTCCACAAAACAACATACTGTAAATATCTGATCAGTGCTACTGAAAGGGTAAATGTAAAATGAAGCTGTGTCCATCATCTGGAGACCCATTTCAATTTTGTATAAATGCAAAGCAATTGTTTAAAATATTTGGGAAATGTTTTTGAATATAGCTCTGTATCTGCTATGCTGAAATAGATGTTGAGCTTCGTACTTCCAAGCCTTTTCCCCTTGTTAACATAACACATTTAGGAGTGCTTGAGGGCATTCCTAAATAATACATTACATACATAATTCCTAAATAAGACCTCCTTTAACAAGCTACACGTAACCGTTTCACTGTTCCTCAGTTCTGTACACCTTGAACCCAGATCCTGTCCAATATGCGCAAAAGACATTACTTATAGATCCAAAAATATTTAAAACATCCTTCCTAGCATACACATTTACAAGAAACAAAAACAGCACATTCTATAAATTCATACACCACAAAACCTGCAGATACCCAATCCTAAAATTATATAACCAAACAGTACCAACAGTAGAAAAAAATGCAAAATATTTGCCCTTATTTAAAACAAAATGTCTTCTCTCTGGAACATTTAATATACTTTTTTTTTTTCTCACTCATTGTAATAAAATTATTTAGATTTTAACTTAATTTAAAGATAAATGTACATCCAGTTCCCAAACAAATATACAAGTACATTAATGTAAAAGAAAAACTCTCAAGAAGATACAGGGGTGAGATTGTTGGCCCACATTTCTTAACTGTATGTTGAAATGTTAAATAATTGAACATATTCCATTCAAGTAATTCGTAAGGTTAAACACTTCTACCATAACTGGCCTACTGCCCTGTTTAAAAGAAGTTTTGTTTCTTGACTACATTTCCATTTTCAAACAAATGAAACTGGAACAATCCCCATCTTCCCATTTCTGAAAACTTCTGAAAAGAGCGTAATTTTCCCTTCTGCAGGACCACATGAGAGACAATGGACCTGTAACTCTCTGGTTAAGTACTGGATGAAAATCAATTCACAGATCTTTTATTTTTCCACCTTTCCTTGTTACAAAGAAAGGGCATTAGTAGATTAGGTAAGGAAATCTCAATGGTTAGAAAAGACTGAAAAATTTGCAAGCAGCTAAGGGTTCTGTATAATTCTAACTGTATATGTCTTGTTCACTTTTTAAAATATGTACAAGAGGATTCCTAAAATGAAATGACCAGATTACAGGGTTTACGGTCTTTTTAAAAAAGCAAGAAAACAAGATAAATATGCATTTCTTGTCACAACAAATCTTACAGAAATGGCTCAGAAAAAAAGCATTAGGTAACTCAACTACATGACTGACGAAAATAAAAGTTACAGTAATTATTTTAATAGCAATTACAACAACTCTTGTCCCTTATGCATGTACAAATAAGATAAAATCAAAGAATTGGACTTGGGGGTCCAACTTTAAGGAACATTATTCCTTATACACAGACCTGTATACTTAAAACAGCTCTCGGAGCTAATTTATACTGTATATGTGGCATTCCCCACTCTGACTGTTGAAGGCACATCTGAAGTTTATCTACTGACAGACAGATATACACATACATAAGGTTTTCGTATGTTCTGGAGATCTGTAGTGTGGTTGCACAAATACTGCCAGAAAAAAATGTTTCCTTACTTTGTACGTTAAAATAATGATGAAACAACTCCTCCTATGATTGCAGGCACTGCATGTGCATTGTAAATTCAAACAACAGTAATCAAGCTTGTTGGCAAGCTTAGACAGATTTTGTTTCTAAAAATAATATTGTGGAAATGTAGCTTGATACCAAACTGCAGTCTTTTTTCCCCAAAACTAAAAACAGCCTTTAAAATCACTGCAAGTATCCACATATCAGTGGTACACCTGTATTTGTTGACTTGAAATAAGAATATGGACCCTGACCTTTTTTTCCCCCACTATAACCAAAGACAGTGTGCACACTGTCGATTGCACATTGGCTACATATGGTATGTCCATGAATGAGATCTATTTGAAATAATTTTCAAACTTCAGTTAATAATCCAAGAAATATACAGATATTGGGCTTCAGCCATATCAGGCTATTAAAAATGCAAATTATGTTCAACTAATTCTTGCATAAAATACAGTAGATTGCATTTACATAGAAACTAAATAATTAGAAGGCTTTACATTGATTTGACTGGAATATTTCAATGCATCTTATTGAATTACTAAATTACTACTTTGAAAACATGAGTTTCACAGGCACATGCCTCTAGTGATACTGCTCAATTTGTGCTAATAGTTATTTAATAAGAGAACATTAGGTACAAAAGTTTAGAAATAATACATTTTCTCTTATTTTACACTATAATTTAAATGCTGTCCAAAAGTCAATATTTGGTAAAGTAATATTTCAGAACTGATCCAAAGTTTTATTTTGATCGCAGCATGAACTTTGTTTTATCCATTCAGACACGATATATAATAACCTAAAGGCTGTTGAAGAGCTTAACACAACAGCTAAAGGTGAAAAGAGTCAAATACATTTTACAATTTGTAATAAGCTTTTTTTTAAAAACATTAAGGGTTATATCAAGTCAGTGAAAAAGAATGAAAATTTTAGATATGTTTAGGCTGCCTAATTCAGCTGTTTATAACCTGTTGACAGTGTCTTACAAATAAACAGCATGCTCTGTCAGCTGCAGACCTTTACCAATCACAGAATCCACTGAACTCTACAGATAAATTCAAGGAGATAGTGAAACTAGGAATCTGCTCACTAATTATAATTAGGTTAATTCTTCATTGTGACCAGAAAAATACACAATCCAGGTCTTGTTATATCCTTATTGCCCACTACAGGTATGGTATGGTAGTTCCTTCACTAGAAGCTTTGCTGAACATGATGGGATTCTGTCTACATCTGACAAAAGTAAACCTGGATCTTCAAAAGAGTCCATTTCAACTGTGAATTTCATAATGCCTAGCCTTATATGATTATCATACTTGATTGTTCTTCCACAGGAAGCAATGCTAAAAAAATAGGCAATGAAGATTGTGAGAGCAAAATGCCAGAGCCTGGCATCATCTGTACAAGACCGACTGACTACTGCTGAATAAAAAAAAGTTCACTGCTTTGCGGGGGGAGCAGCTAATGGTCACTCTAAGGCTTCAGCATCCTATACCTTTAGAGCAAGGCAAGAACACCCTGATCACGTCCTTGCATGAAATACACACAGGATTCCATTTTATTTTCATTTTATTTGCATTACCCATGTTCAAAAGCTCACTTTCCACTGTGTTTTCAGTGCAGACAATCAGTCTCACTCAAACCAGCTGTATCTAAAGTGAACTGCTGTTCAGGTTTCAACTTAAAAGAGTGCCGTCGCAAAGAAAATAAGCAATTGTTCTGGTGACTGACATACAAATAACCCCCCCACCACCACCAGCTTCGGATGCGAACATTCTGTAGTTCCCAGTCTAGAAACCTTTCCTATAATTTTTACAGTATGAGTTACTGAGCAGCAATGAAGGAAAGAAGGAACAGACCCAGATCCGTTGCTAAGAAATGACAGAAAAAAACGCTGGTCAGTTATGAGGGGCCTGATTGTTGTCCTGTTGCTAGTATTCAACCTTTTATTGATCGAGACCTTTTCCACTAAAACATAACCTTCCCCTTAAGATAGTTTTGGGTCACCTTTTTTGAACGGGGAAAAGTGCTAGGAAGCTGAAATGATTGGGCAAGAGCCGTTTTCAGGGCTGGGGTGAGACTTGGCTTCTGTTGTGGTCTTAGGTTTCGGGGGCCAGTCTGGGTCAACCAGCAGCTCCTGGGCGAGGTGCATGTAGCGGGCCTTCGGTTCCCAGCGCTTTCCGCAGCAGAGCCAGGACAGGACTTTGGGGCCCCTCAGATCAACTCCCATCTGCAGAGAAAATAAAAAAAAAAAAGAAAATGACGCCAAATTGCTTTTCTTTTCCATTCTGAGGACAGAATGCTTTGCTTCCTGCTCACAGCCTGCCCACCCACCCCCGTCCCCTTCAAGTTTCTAAACATGGTCTTACGATATGAGAGTGACCCTCTATAGCTATTCAAGATGCATACTACACTTCAGAGAATCAGGGGAAATGAATGAAGTTCGTTCAGCCTTTGGACTTTTGCACTAGCTGAAATCTACTGACCCATTTGTTCTCAGTTTTAATGTGTGAAAAAGATCTGGTGTTGGACATGGCTACGGGATCAGTAGGCCTGTTGTTAATCAGTGGCGATGTGCCCACACCAGTGCTTCACAACCAGGGAGCAACATGCACATCACTCCCTACACACGTGGTAAAGCCAGCGCAGGCCCTGATACTGTAATGCACAATCAGCACATCGTTAACTACAGAACTCTTTCAGCCTGGAGCTCTTCGCAGTGTGTGTACATACAGAAAGTGTGTCACAATCACTCCCATCAAGGCACTTTTACTTTCAGAAGGGTTTCATTCCATAAACGTTTTTTTTTAAATTATAACTATAATTATAAAAGGCCCTGGTTAGTAAGGAATCAACAAGTCTTATTAGAGATAACTCGATTTTTCACCTATCTTTGTTTTACTAAAAAATGCCTGATTTGAAAATACCATGCATCTAGTTAACTCTTGACATAAACGTCAGCGTTTCTTAAAGCACCACAAGAGCTGCACCTTGCGATAAACTGTAAGCCAGCCTTACAGCATCCAGAATTGACTGTTTTGCAAAGACATCTTCCGACTGATTAAAACGATGCTTTAGGCTTCGTTAGAAGATCACTAGAGTCTTTGCAACATACGGTTTTATCTAACTCGTGGCTTAACTCCATTTAATGGACATGCGAAAAATTCAAGAGTTAAAATCAACCGCCTGGCTCTGGAAACAGAAGCGGCATAGTAAGCATCTGAAATGCTATAAAGAATACATACCTGAATCAAGGCATGCAAAGCCTTTCGGGGGTTTCTAAAAGTAAGGTAACAAAGCCTCAAGACCCGTGCAGCTGTGTGCGACTCATAGCAACCCTAGTGCAATGATGAAGTATTAAAAAGAAGGGAGTGAAAATTCCACTGCTAGCACCCACCCTCCGAGTGTCAGGGACCCACCACGCTGGAATGCAAAGAAGGCAGATCACAGAAATCGCTTGGCATGCAAATGTTAAGAGTCTATGGCGAAGGGGGAAGGCACCAGGAAGTGAAAGGGACAGTGAATAAAGCGTCAGATCCCAACCTGTGGTGTCTGTGAGGCAGAGGTGATGCCAGAGCTGCCTTGCTTGTCTCGGCTGAACACAAGCTTCCATAAGACGATGTCAAGGATGAAGGTCTATGGAATATTGCAGTGGGCAGGAAAGAATTAAAAGAGCTACCAATCATGTTTTTTTTTTTTTTGTTTGTTTGATTATTTTTTATGAACAAAGATTCGTGAATTCAGTTCACGTCAGAATTCTCAAGTTACTAAAAACAAAAAGGAAAAATAGAAAAAAATCCCTAAAGCGATTATTTGCGAAATACTACATTTAGTATGATTATTTTACAAAGGTCAATTAGCAGAATGATTTGTTCTCACTGCTGTATCTTCTCCAGGCGTGGTTCTGCAGTGAATTCATTAGTCATTCAAGAAAGCTTTCAGGAAGATGCACAAGCTTTTATTTTGTTAGAAACTATGTTAGGATGTCTACGGTGCAGAATCGATTAAACTACAACAAAGCAGTTTGTTAAAAGGCTGAAGCTTTGCTGAGAAACTGTATGAATAAAACAAGTAACAACTCTCTCCAAAGCTCCCGTTACACGGTTCAAATGCATGTGGCATGTTGTATACTGGTTAAAAATTATTCAGAGCAAAAGGCAATTACACACTAATTTAATAAATAAATATTGTTGAGCTGTAGGAAAAAGTTTGAGTTCCAATTAGCAAAGGGAAAACGCCCAAGACAGAAACACAGTGATGCACCTTTGGGTTACCAAATCACTATTCCATAACATTTGTGTTACATAAAAAAATAATAACAGAACAACAAACTAAAAAAAAAAAAGTAAAAAAAGGCATACCAATAACCATCTAGAACGGCCTCCATTGTACTTATATTAATTCATGTCTATAGGGATAGACGAAATTGTTCCTGAAATAAACTGCTTAAATCAACTCCGACATAAGCAATCTCCTTTATTTCAAAACACCAGAGGGAACCAGACACTAGAGGAAGCTACTGTAGGTCTGGCGATCGCGGAGGTTGTGAAAGGAATCCCCTGCTGCCAGTTACAATATCAACCTCATGCTACTGAAGTAGAACATGACGTGGAGAAAGCTGTGGGCACACAGATATTAAAACCAATATGGAGCTATAAACAATTTTTACTTCGATTCATTGCTACAGAAGCCTATTAGGGCCCACAGGGAAAAAAAAGTGTTTAAGCAAGATACTGCTGCCAACACATCATCACCAGCGGGACTCTCTTTATAAACACATTACGCTGTTTGCTATGGCAGCCACTTGTGTGGCATCTAGGAATTGTTTTGGGATTTTGAGGGTGGCATGCATCCCACTATTCCATTACATTTATGTCTGTGCAAACTGTTATACCTTAAGTTTCTACTCCTTCCACGTGACAGATTTCTTGTCGTTTGCTGAGTAAACCCAAATTCATGTGTATTCGAAATAAGCATAGGCTGAAAGCTTTTGGTGTTTATAGAAAGACTGCAAGCCAACAGCAGGTATAGGTTTTACTGTTAAGTCACTGTTAATGTATTCTGTTCATTGTTTAAAGACAAGACAAAAACCTATCTACATGAAAATTAACCCAGCAATGCTATACGACAGGGTGTTAAACTTGATGTATACAAAAGACATTGTAAGTGCTCTTTTATACTAATTAATGTGCACAAGTGGGAGAGTGACTTTTTTTTTGTTAATGAAAATGGAACTTTGCATTGGGAAATATTTCATATATTGCAATATATTAATACATTGCGGCAGTATTATTTAAGCAATGATTATTGTGTTTAAATGGAATGTTACCAAATTTAAACACATTTTGTTTTCTCTGTGGCGCTAACAGGCTTCCATAAATTCCAGAAATTAATCCCTCCCAATTTATTCTTCTCTTCCAGTTTATATGCAAGCTCCCGTTTTTATATTTGTTGTATTTTGTTGTTTTGTTCTTTAAAATCCACGTCAAACAGACAAGAGGCGTCTACATCTCCTGCAACCTCTAGTTTGAAGAAAACACTCTAAGATGCATCAGAGTTCACTGTCAAAGACTATTTCTTTGCATATTATCTTAAAATTACTGTTCAGTATCTGCAATGCTCCAACACACACTGTGCAATTTGGAAAACACCTAAATCAGATCAACTATCAACTGTAACAAATATTCATACATCACTTAAAGGGTAGAGAATGGCTACTATGATGAGTTTTTAATCTGACTTTACACCTGTATGAGGCTAATACAAGATTAAGTAGCTGTCTGGTTTTAATTGCCAATTTGCTGTAGGCCAAAGACTTTTTACTGTAAAAGCTCTAATTGTATTTTCAGAATGACAGCACTCTACACTGTAGTGTTACTTAATTCATCCTCCCCGTTTTAATATTGTCACATTAACGCTCCACTAGAAATTGACATTTCACACAGATGACTTAGTCAATATGCTGGAGCTTTCCTGCTAGAAGAGGACTGAGATCAAGTAAATCATCAAGTCAGGGGAAGATGTGCACACTTCTGCAGCTTACCTCCACCAGAGCAGACACTGCAGAGTTCACTATAATTATGAAGAGCATTGTGATGCGCCACTTGTATGGAACACACACAATCTGCAGAAAAAAGTCATACAGAAACAAACATTTAAAAGCATGCACAAGGCACTTCAGAGACAGACATTGTATTCCATTATTATCCTTCCTTTTCTGGTGCTTTTCTCCATTGCTTTCTCCTAGCCAAACACCTGTTGTGTAAAATATCTATCAACTAAGATTATGAAGCAAAGCATGACAACACTCAAGACAAAATCACTAAGGCTGCTGACAGAATTTTTTGTTTTTTAATTCAAACTCTGGTTATATCATATAATTGTGTATAAGTGCAACCTACATGACCTACATGGAAACAGGTTTTATACATTTAAACATATCATGCATTCATGGTATTTGGTACTTGTACTGAAAAGACAGGTAAGTGTATAGACATTTACCCCCAATTGTGCTATGTACAATTAGCTTGAGAATGGTACATATGTTACTAATCTGTACTAAAGTGAGCGATTCCTACAGTTCTAAACATCTAAATAGTCACAGTCGCTGCAGTTTTTCAGAATCAAAGCAGGGTTAGGGGTGATACTGTATTTAATACTAATTAATACAGTCAAATACTGGAAATCTAGAGATATTTCTGCGCTACACTGATAAGTGTCCAAATTGGCACCTGTTTGACCAAACAGAAAGTAATTCTTGTTCAGAAAAAATAAAATCAAATGTGAGGTTTATTGCACTTGCCTCCAGGAAGTCATCGATAGCTTGTATAGGATAAAACAGTATGAAGAGCAGGAAGGCATAAAGACTGAATGCTGACAGTACAAAAGGCCCTGAAATGAAAAGCAGAAATACGAAACAATCAAAACAAATGCATTTGTTATTATGAATTGGATACCATTAAGTTAATCGAGATTTGAGCCTTTTAATATTATTTTAAGCATTACTCTTGAGTTACGTTAACACTTACAGTTTTTGTAGCTTGGCTGCCTAAATGGCTTCCCTTTGGAGAACACGATGGCCACAGTGAGGTACTGGAAGGATGACACAAAGAAGAGGGTAGTGTTCTCGTAGTTTTTGATGTTGTGGTCATCCTCCTCCTGGTCCGTTTTGTTATGACCATGGGTGATGTTCTCAGTTGTGAACATGGACATATTACAAGCACTGTGCATAGAAGAAAAAGAGAGATATCCACCTGGATATGGAAAACCAAGCTTGAATACACTTTTGCAGAATCAAGTCAGGACACCACTAACCATTCATCTGTGCTGGACTATTATTTTACAGTTTGTCCCAATAAAATCAGAATGAATTAGTTGTAAGACCTGACTGGCATGTATAAACGGGAGTGGTAGAAATCTTAAGAAATCTGAGAAGAATCTGTGATGCTACCATGGTGGTTTTTCATTCATTATGCTCTGCAGGGGCACAGGGACGTTTGAAATTGCTGTCTCTCTTATTACTTCTTTTCACAATATTCAGAAAAGGACCCCAGCCTACAACAGGCTGAGCTCCCCCTCAGGATGCCCTCTCGGCAAACTTACTCCGACTCTGGTGCCCACGTCTCATACCAAGGCTGGCTTTTCACCCACAGGAACGCCAGTGTTTGGAAGCCCAGGCAGATGAGGATTTGAGCGAGTACTGAAAACAGCAGAGGTCCGGAAATGAGACCGGAAGGAGGCCTCCGTGCCACTAGCTCTGTCCAGGCTGGGTTTAAACTCACTGCAATGAAAGACAAGACAGGCAGAACCACAGTTACCGACAGCTGCTGCCTGTGAGTGAGCAAACAAACAGGAAAATACGATGGTGAAACTGACACTTTCGGAAACAGGCAAAAAATGTCCAACTACCACCATTTCAAGTTGTCTAGTTAAATTCATATATCCAATATACGCAATGAATAGTAACATCTGAGATTCCGTTTTGTTTTGCACTTTATGAAAATAAAAAAAATATCCATTTTGTTCCTACAAGAAACAAAAACGGAGAGGTTCTTTATTCATTTTCTTCATATTCTATAACAAACTCGTGGAAGTCAGAAGTGGACACGAGGAGATTCTAGGAAGTCACCCACTCCTAAGAGCTATAAAGATGAGACGGAGGTGAGAAAAGAAAGATCTGGAACAATGTTATGGCACTAGGATGTGATACATTTTTTAGCACTTACTTGTGAAGACAATAAGAAGAATGATTGCTACATCAATGAAGAGGAACTGGAAGTCTCCAAGGTTGCTAAGAATCTAAAGGAAAACAATGCCATTCAGTATAATTCTATGGGCATATTTTTATATTTCTCTACCAAACATTCTTTACCCACACCACACTAAAAATAAATCAGTTTCCTTATTGCTTGTTAAATATGGTACACTAATTTGTGAAAAGAATATAATGCAGACAGTATGATGTTAAATATTACATAAGATAAGATCACAACTTTCTGCAAATATTTGTAGCTTCACAATGTTAACTTCACAATCATCCAAATCAAAATTAATCATCCAAAATGTTTTTTACTCAATAAAGATATCAGGTGAAAAAAATGGCTGTTGCCAGCCACAATCCTGTTTTTACAGCGGGAAGTCAGGACAGGCCTCTTCCATAAAGACGTCCATTCAAACACAACTGAGCAATTTCTAGAAGGCAGAAGATGAACAGGAGTGGGAGTGGGGCTATATATCCTAACACACGTGGACAGCAAATTAATCACTCTTTACATTTCTGACGTCACGTACCAGCCTGGTCCAGACACCCGCTCCTCAGTTTAGAACAGTCTTCTCATTAAAGGGCCAATTGGAAAAGGAGTGGGAGAGGTACTCACTGAGTAAAGCAGGGTGACACTGATGTATTGGATGATGCTGTACAGAGCCATGAACTTGAACACGCAGAAAGAGGTAATCAGAGCTGCACGGCCTTCCCTGAAAGGACATATCAAACCCGCACTGAGAACAGGGAAGCTCATCTCTGGTTACATCAAATTTGGTGAACAGCACTGCCCCCTATGGGCCAACAGCAGAACTGTCAATGTTGGTGATAAATATACAGTCTCAGAAACTAGAGGAAAATTATGATAACATTAAAATGTACTTGGGGATACATTCCTATAGGGTTATCTGATCAGTTACTAATTTACATAAAGGCACTCAACAAAACAGTCATTACTTTTGCAGAAATCCAGTAGCTTACATGGAAATTAGCTTATTTGGAAATGCTATTTGCTCTGATTCCTGGTACATTGACATTGTTAGTAGGACAGTGTCCACACAGCAGACTTGATCAGACATGTTGTACCATCAGCACTCATACACAGGAAATGTATGAAAGTGACAAATCTTTAATCTCCCCCCGCTAAACTGAAGGCAGCTGTGAAACCTGTGAACCCACTTACCTGATAAGGCTGGGCACGCAGGAAATGTTGGGTGTCTTGGAGGTGAAAGGGGAGGCCACTGAGGCCTCGAGTTCAGACAGGGAGATCCCACTGTGAGCTCTCTTCAATGCCTGGGAGGGACAAAGGGAAACACTTGATTACAGTTGCTCTGAGGATCAGGGAGTATAACATTATTACCAATGTTAGAATACAGCAGACTGCTGGGCCGCCCCACGAGAGAATGGACTCGCTCTGCCTTTTTTCTCAGGTTGATGCTGTTTTTCTAGCCAGCGATTTATAGAACGGCAGGGGAAACAAGACTAGAAGGCAGTTATTCAATATTCTGTTTAATGTGTTTGCTGAACCTGACAGTGCACAGCAATGAAATGGCACAGCAGCTCTGGGAAGTACTTACGCCACAGTCATTTGCGCCATCTCCGCACATCCCCACATAATAACTGAAAAATAAACACAGAACTGAATCACAACAATGCCTTTATGCAGTGAAACGTACAGCGGATGTGGCAATTAAAGCTAAATGACTGGCAGAAACCAGTCATAACTATCTTTATTCTACATAATATCCTTTACTTCAATGACCAATACCAAACAGCAGCATATGTCACTAGTAGTGGAAGGACTAGCAGTTAGAGGATTATTACTTTCGGCAGAGGGAACTAGGCTGACTCACACAGGCAATTACATGAGTGTACTGAGGCAGTGTACTCACTCCACACTCTGGAGCGCTTCCACCAGCTGCGTCTTCTGATCGGGTGCCATTCTAGCAAAAACCGTGCCATGTAGTACCAGCTTAAAAAAAAAACACAGGGGAGAGACATACCGTTTTCAGTTGTGTTTTCTCTTATTGATAAACTGTTGAAAAACAAAAATCCAGTCAGGTCATACTTTGGATAGAGAGGCCTGTCTCAAAGCAAGGTGATAGGGATTAGCAGCAAGTTCACGTTTTACTAAAGTTTAAGGTCAGGGATTCACTGAAGTCAGGACTTCACAAGAGAATCGGGCTCCGACATCTGGAGCCACAGCCACATTCTTTTAAAAAATCTGAATCGAATTCACCACTCACTGTGAAATGTAAGTTTTGTTCTTCAAATAAAAAATACGACATACAGTAAGTCCAAAGCAAAAGTACTTAGAACACTGTCACTCCAAGTTAATGTTGAAGTAGGGCAATGTGTATAGGTGATAAAATGAAGTTTGAAAGGTGTATTAGTATTCTAATATTCTAGTATTCTTAGCGGAGACCTGTGGGAAAGTGAACAAGGCCCACCTTCTGGAGGAGGTCTTGAAAGTGCTCTGTTATTACAGCGAAGGACTTCCCACTCATGGCAAAGTGATAATGTTCCACATGGTTGAGCTCGTCCTCAGGGCTGCCATCATCCAGTTTTATCTGAATCTCCTGCAAGTTTCACAAGCAGGTTTATCTGGTCCGAAAGCACAACTATGCAACAGCAATCACGTACAGATTGAGAAGGAACTAGTAGCCATAACTACTCTTGTAACAAAAGCTGTATATACATGTTTTTAATGCTGTGGACCTGTAAATCTGAAACTGAACAAAGACTGTGCTTATGTATATACTATCTAACATCCATTCTTCACTATTTCAAGTTACCTTTCAATGTCAGAATCTTCAACAACACTTTACATTTACAGTTCTCAAAAGCTAATATTTCAATTTCTGCATTCCAGTTTAATGTACCATGTACTTTCACAATTCAGAACTGTACATTTAAATTTTATACAAGATTCACGTTTTCGTACACTGGGTGTATCACTGGTTCCTACGCGGTCGGTGACAATTGCTCAATTATGAGCAGAGAGAGATGCACTGAGAACTGTCATTAGAGTATTTCTGATGCTGGTGTCATCCAGCCCCCCACCAGTAGAAGGTACAACAGGCTGGCTGGCAGTCGGTAGACACTCACATCTGGGTGGGCAGCTGGTGCACTGGCAAGCTTGGTGGGGAAGTCTGCATAGTGCCAGTTAATCTTGGCCGCCTGGCCATCTTTTGGAGGTAGTGCATCCGCAATGATGACGCGGTCCTGTGGCAGGATCATCCCACAGTCACGTGCCACTGATATAGCAGTCAGCATGTTGTCACCTGCAGGAACAGGATTTTGTAACACAGCTGGACCCAACAAGCAGAGTCGATTAATAATTAACAGCGATATTATCTGATCTGCATTTGCCAGCTAGAAATGACTGTTTTGGGGACAGGGAGAGACGACGTTCTCCACAGAAACCAACCTGTTTTAATCAATTTGCCAACCGCGGTAATCCCCGAAAGGACATTGAGGCTTTAAAAATGTAGTAAAGCCAGAGATACACTGCAATGTTTTCAACAACTAAAGTTGAAGATGAGTGTGCTAAGGTTAGCATGGTTGAGAAAAATCAGTTTGAAGGATTTCTAGTTTCTTTCCCTACTCTATTCCAGTTTTGTCAATTAATACCACTTTCAACTACTCCTGTTACCAATAATAAATGGTAGCACTGTAAGACACAATACACAATTTAAATGACAAAATGTATAATAGGGCTTGAAAGATAATATTTTGCATAATTTTACATTTTCAAAGATGAAGTAAATTAACTAGCAATATTTTTTTTATTAAATCATTTACACAAGTTAGACCCATCTCTTCATTTATATCGCTTAGAAAGAACATAGCCAATGTCAATATCTAACAAGCTTCTCTCTACAGCAATCTGATATCAGTCTCTGCCAATAAAACGTTACATTTATCTCTAAACCAAAGATAACATTTTATTTCTCTTATTTTAAAATTTATTTCTGATATTTTTGTTTGTACACAGATTTGTTTTGCCTACAATTAAAGATGGCTAAATAACATGACATAAAAAGTGTGATTAATTGTTCAATATTTAGTCAGATGTCCAGATCTGACCTTCAAATGACCAGTGCAAGCTGTGAACTGCTGACATGAAATACCACCTCCAAAATGTCATCATCAACTTCCCCATTATCACCATCAGGTTCACCTTTTGTTAGCTGGCGCATTTATGTTGATTTATATGGGGTAACTATTTAGTATATCAATGGGTATCTCTTTATCTCAGTGTATGGATTTTTCCCATTATCCATGGGCAGTTCAGTTACTATTCCCCACATGAATAAGGAGGACTGGGTGTACAGCAGTTTTTGCAAAGGATTCCTCACCTGTGACCATTACAGTGCGTATGTTAGCACTGCGAAGGTCTTCCAGAACGCCTGGAGTCTCAGTTTTCAGTTTATTCTGCATAACGATCATCCCCAGGAACTCCATATTCACTTCAATGGCATCCCTGAGAAAGGCAGAAGAATAAAAAATATATATCTACACTCGCGAAAAAAAGAAAATATAGAAGCAACAAATAAATCCTGCAGAAATTTTCCCAGCTTCCCAGGAAGAAGTTAAGTCTAAGGTTGAAATACAAAAAAAAACATCTTAAGTACCGAGGAATAAGTGAACTATGCAAAAGGGTGTGATATTGTATGACACAAAAACAATGTATCAAATTATCCAACTATATCTTGAAAATACAAGAAAAAGGAAAACAAAAATAATAGTTTAGTTTTCTAAACAAATGTTTGAACACTTTTCCTTACAAGTGGTTGGAGTCTATATTTTTAATGCCCACAAGCAGCTTCACAACAAACAAAGGGTTTAATGTACTGTACCTGTTGATGTTCTGCACTTTGTGCCATGTGAGTTTGGACTCAAGCTTTCGGTGAGCCAGGGCAATCACACGGAACCCCTGCTTGGTATAGCCCTCCAGAACGTCAGAAAAGTTCTCGGGCACTGCAAGGGAATTTACAAAAAAACTGTAATCACATGTGCATGTGTTGTTTTTTCCGTGTGTAGGAACAAGTAATAATACATAAAACGTACATGCTGGAAGAAGTGAATGAACTTGTTCCATGAAGACGGGTTAAACAATGTGGAATCTTCTGATCATAAGGCTGAAGACTAATCAAAACCTGTCAACTGAACTCCACTAATGTGAACTGTACACATCAACTGAGCAACAATACCACAAGAAAAAGAACTCGTAGTACAGCCTTGAGTTGCTTAACAGAAATCGTTCTCTATATTCCTGCATTTGTAGCCAAAAACAAGCCTCAAGGCTTCACAGAGAGAACAAAGACCGCGACCTCGTACCGGTTTCCATTTTGCAAAGGCTAGCAATGACCTCAGGGGCCCCCTTCAGATAGGCGTCCATTCGTTTCTCGCCCAAGAGCCTGACCACCACGCTCATCCTCTGCAGGGCCGAGGAGAAGGGGAACTGGCGCACAATTCCAATTTCATAGGAGGGCTGCAAGAGGAGGGGGAGACGAGACGCAGCTCTCTTAGCAATTCTCATTCAGGGAAGAAGTTACGGAAAAAGAAAAAAGGGAATAATAAAACAACTTACTGGAAGTTCATACAGTTCCTGTAAGACAAAGTAGTAAAAATTGGGTTAAATACAGTACAATGTAAAAAAAAAAAACACTTGTTAGAAAAGGCTCAAATCCGTCAATCCAATTTCTGGATTGTAGCGAACAGTAAAAAGTAAAATAAAGACGGATAAAAGATGATGTACAGAGAAGAAAAAGGGAACACTCATATGATTACGGTGTGATTTTTCTATGTCTGATGAGTCTGCTGTATTTTGATCACGTCCTAAATTGTCTTTCATACACAAGGGGGCAGCATGAATATGTGAAGGAAAAGCACAGCTATGTCAGCTGGTAATCCTGTGCCAAGAAACAATGTGAACTAACCTGAGGGCAAAATGTAGAATATTCAAGACAGGGAGGTGCTCTTTCTTAGTTTTTGCAAACTAAGACCTCAGGCCATATTTAACGGCAATCTGTGAAATGTACTTTGGCTGCAAAAGCGAATTTGGTGCACAGTGAATTCTGGCATGTTTGCCAAGAATGTGGTTCGTGAACAGGCGTGTGTTAAGCATACCATATCCTGCTCTGTGGAAACCAGAGGCTCAGGAAGCAGCTGCTTAGGTGGCCGAACGACAGTGGGCATGATGCGGTTGTGCAGCGCTGTCTCCTCTTCTGTGGCTTCCTCCAGAATCTGGATTGGGAAGAGAGGATTCGGAGTAAGTTGGACAGTGCTTAGAATTGCCGACCCCCGTTCAACTCCGGACCTGGGGTTCTATCTGTGTGGAGTGCGTATGTTTTATCCCTGTGCTCTCCTGGCTTTCCTCTGGGTGCTCTAGTTTCTTCCCACAGTCCAAAGGCATGCTGACAGGTTAATCAGTTTGTGGCAGTGTGGAGTGGAGTCCCATCCAGGCTGTACTCTGCCTTGCTCCTGTTGCTTGCCAGCATAGACTCCCACTCCCTCGCTTCTTTGAACTGAAGTACCGGTTAAGAAAACACAAATGCAGCCAGTACAGACATGCTCGCCGCATGAACACAATCTCAGCTCACCCAACCAGTTGCCTCAAACATCTTGAGGTCGAGTGGATCTCCGGAGAGCACTCCCTCGATCTTGGTGAGGGAGTGACAGGTCGCCATGCAGGCCACAAAGTGAGACTTGACCAGAGCTTCCTTGTAGGCATTTTCTTCGGACAAGAGAAACCTAAAGGTGAGGCCACAGAGGAGAGTTTAGTCAAGGGGATACAGTGCACAGAGACTGTTTATGGTTGTCATACTGTACATGTACGTGCCAGTTTCCGTTTATTTTCATTTTAAAGCAGCATTTGTGTTTCTTTTCTGATTAAGAAGATCTGACTGAACACACTGAACCATAGTTTATTCTATCCCTACACATAAAATGCTTTTTGTGCATCAGTTCTCTGCTCCATAAACAGACTTTATGTTATTACCATTCAAAATGGATTCACAGGAATCAAACTCAGTGCCCAAATAAGTGTAATTTTATTGTCCAAATAAGAGCATTTAATTTAGGATTAAAACCAAATGAGAACGCACTGGGAAGACCTGGATATGTAATAAACCTCAAAAGTTTTTAAGTGCCTTAAGTGATTTCCTATCATTATGCCCACAGCTGTGGCTACACATACATTATGTACTGACACACATCTGTGTGTATCATATAAACTAAGCAGCAAAGAAGTGAACTGTATGTGTACACAGGCTGTTATACCTTCCACTCTCCACCCTTTGGATGCCCCAGAGATCTAATCCATCTTCAGTTAGTGTGCCGGTCTGTGCAGAGAAGGAAAACATACTTTCAAGTTCTTCTGCAAAACGTCTACAAACTCAGGGCAAGACAGAAGAATCAAAAGGTAAATCTTCCCGGCTAATTAACAGAACATAAAATACAACAAATCTTTAGGATTTTGGAAAACATAGTTCTTTCTCAGAAGTAATAACTGACTACTTTTATATCTGCATTCATATTTACATCAGGAAGAACTGCGTTTCGTCCCCCCCAAAAAAACACAGCTCTTTAAAACAGAGAAGCAGACCCTCTTCATTCACTACTGGGTTCCTTCAGCCCCAGCCTGAGTGAGGTACGGCGGCCTTTATAGGCCAGCAGCATGAGTATGCAGGCGATCGGCGGGCAAGCGGGCGTGGTGCCTGCAGACCTTGTCGAAGCAGACGAGATTCAGCTGCCCACAGATGTTGATCCTCTGGGGGCTGATGCAGAAGATGCCAATGTGCTTGAGGCGGCGCTGGGCATAGACAATCCCAGCAGTCATGGCAGCCGGAAGGGCGGGGGGCACAGTGATGGTGATGATGTCCAGGGACTCGATGATGATGTATTTGGCTGGAACCTGAAGGACAGAAGACATTACAGATATTCGTAATTGAGTGTTGATGTGGGTCCCAGATCTTCTGTTTTTCTTTACGATCCATCTTCTCTTTTGCAATGTGCAATTAATACAATTGTGACCAATATTAAACTGTGAGGGGAAGAGCAAAAAATTGCAAACAAATGGGACTGAGTATTGTTTCCTTTATACAGGTGAAACTGCACCTGCAACAGTGGTGCCACCTGCTACTCCACCATATACAAGAACGGTGCAATTTAAAACTTGACACGTGCTGTCAAATTAAGACACGTTAAAATACTCTCAGCAATATGTTTTAGTTTGGGATTGAATTAAAATATTCTAGTGAGTTTTAAGATCCTTGAGAAAACCAACAAACATGATAATGCTATCAAGGCTGTAAGATGTTTTAGAAACCCCATGCTTCAGCCAGAGTCAAAAGGGTGCTTGCTACCTTGTGCATGATGCTGAGGACGATGGAGTAGATGAAGCCGATTCCAGCCACACCAACCAGGCACAGCAGGAAGAGGTAGGCGTCGCGGTACAGCTTAAAATCGGTTGGCTTTGGGTACAGGATTGAGCGCACCAACTGCCCTTTTGCAGTGTTAAAGCCTGAGGGATCACAGGGCAAAAATAAGCAAATAGCACTCACAGAAAAAAAAAAGGCTTTGCGTGCAATTTGTGTGCACTTTTCTTTTTCTGACCATTGAAAGCCAGCTTTGTCTGAGGGCACTTGAGTGGTGAAGCACTGCTCATCCTTTCAATAACGCACACTTATAGGACAATTAAACTGTAGCTTTGTGAACTGCCACCACACGTTTGCCAAACGAAAACAAACAAAGAGATGGCAACTCTCTGCATCGCAAACTGCACTTCACATAAAAATCCACAGCACCTATCCACTGTTTCACTTCTAATGCTCTAAAACAGCATACTTATTTACAGTAAAACTCCTTTACTCCACAGCATAAACTTGTAACATAAGACACAGTTTAACAGAAGGCAACGTCACAATGCAGCGCTGAATTTGAAAAAAAACGTGCAGCAAAGTAATACTGCTGGAACAAAACGCTGCAAGAGCTGGCGCGACACATAGCCCTTACCAGTCCTAACCACTACAGCCTTGACGAGCTCCCCTGAATAAAAGCGGGTCTGGATGACGTTTGTCCCGCAGAATAGCGTGTGTCTCTTGTGCTCCTCTGTGCTGTAGATGCTGTCATCCTCTGCTCCTTTCACCCCCTTGCCTGGGTTGGGAAGGTTGGTCTTTGTGACCGGCACACTTTCCCCTGTGGAGGATGGAGACAAGCGCCGGGCTCTGAGCAGAGAGAGTGGTCTGAGGATATCTACAAGGGCAACTGTCCAAACACTGTGACCTCCATTAACCTCCTGCCCCTTTCAGAACTTCATTATTCACTAAACTATGGAATTGCCTATATCATAAATGTGTCAGATTTAACAATACAGAATCTCATTAACTTTTGGGTACATGTTCTTCTTATCCTTTTTTTTCCCAATATGAAATAATACCATGAACGAAATGGAAATCAAGAGTACAGAGGCAATCCGATTTCCAGGTTAACAAAAAATTCCTATTTTGAATGTCCAGCTTATATTAACAGTCACCTGGCAGAAGTCAGAAAAAACATGTAAGCCAGCGAGGGGTACCTGTGAGCATGCTTTCATTGACAATACACGTTCCACTGACCAAAACCGCATCGCAGGGCATGATGGAGCCATTGGAGGGAATCACCATGATGTCGCCAGGAACCAGGTCTGTGGACAGGGCCTCCTCTATCTCTGTACAACATGAGCCAGCACAAGAGAAATGACTGACCTGGTACAGATCTGGGCACACACAACTGACAACAGACAGGCATGCTTAACAATGGTGAATTCAGAGCTACTCAGCTTGTTAAAATACATACTAATTTTTAACACACCAAAACACTCGTATTTATTTCCTCTCATATTCAAACTGTTAAAAGAAATATTATTTAACAGTAAATATTCAACATTTTAAATCTTTTTTTAAAACAGCAAAACAAATTACATTTGGCTTGGACGTGTATAAATATAAATTCACTAAGAGGAGTAACAGTGTTGGTGTCACAGCTCCAGGGCGTTGGGTTTGTCTCCTAGTTGGTGATAGCTGTCTATATGTAGTCTATACTAGACTCGTATGGGTTTTCCTATGCAGCCTAGGCTTGACTGGCTCCAACTTGATACTCTGCACTGTCCTTTGTCAGAAGGCAGGGAGGGCGGTGGAGTTGTTCCCCCTACAGACAGGACTAGTTCCAAATAGGTTTGATGGGCTGCATTTTTTTGTTAATAATAATAACAATAACCACATCATTTTATTAACCCTTTACAATTTCTTGCATTAGGAATTATTGTTTCGCATACCCCAGCTTGCTCTCCATAAGACACACAGACACACAGATAGGGAGAAAGCCTGGGATCAGAGCGCAGGGTCTGCCATTGTACGGCGCCCCTGGAGCAGTTGGGGTTAAGGGCCTTGCTCAGGAGCCCAACGGATTTGAACCGGCAACCTTCCAGCCACAGGCGCAGATCCTTAGCCACAGAGCCACTGCTCCACCCAATCAGTTACTGTACTGATTGGAAATATTTGCTCTCCTGCACTCATTCTTTTTCAATAAACCAGAGCCAAATCCCGGAAGACAGGGTGCAAGGCAACATAGATCTAAAAAAATCGCATCGAACACACTGAACAGCAGAGTAGACTGCAGTTAGTGCAATTGTCTTTCGTTTATTTATCACATGTAGTTTGACGTGAAACCGACACATCTGTTTTTATAGGGTCAGAGCAGGCTAAAAAAGTCATTTCGCCTCATACAAGCTTCTGTCTAGTATTGATAGCCACTTAAACTTTCTAGTGTAGTACAACATAGTGTGAAAACCTGCAGGGCAGGTACAGGCAGATCAGAATCTCAGCCAGGTGTCCCTGGCAGAAAGTCAGTGTTCAACTCAGCCCTGAAGACAACGGCAGAGGAAGAGCAGGTCTGTTCTGCTGGCTGCCTTGTAATGCATCTTGCTGTGCAGCACTGGTAGCAGGTTCCCCGTTTTTTATTTTTCACGTCCATCTACAGTACTTCAGAACCTTTGCTTAAGAGATCTAAAAAGCAGACAACAGCTAAGGCTGAAAGTCTACATCAAAAGCAAATTCTGCATTTAACTGCAGATAAAACATGGCCCAGATAGCCCAGATTGTATTACTCTACCGTCAGCTTTTTTTTCCCCCAAGTCCAGCTCACTGCTGTCTTAAACTGCATGGATGCTTCTACATGCCTTGGCAAGTAATTGATCAAATACTGCAATACAGTACTTCATCTCAACGCTGAGACTGTTGAAAATAAAATTGCTACGGAAATCAGAATACCCCATGAATTATTTTTGCAATTGCTCAAAGCAATATACAACTTTGCCAGTTGCAACAGCAAATTACAGTATACCACAAATCACAGCTACAGTTCCTTTCGTTTATTTGCAGATTTAACTTACCATTATTGGCCCTGCAGACAGAAACGCGCACAATACTGTGAGTTGCCACCATGTCGTGCAGCATAACATATTGCTGAAAATACAAGAGTTCAAAAGTTGAAGGGAGAAAAAAAAATCACTTCCAATTCAAGAAGCTTCACCGCATTATTCAACCTGGACAAATAATGCTCAGGAGTCGCATTGATTGGGGTAGCACTGAAACACACGAAACAAGATAATTTGGTGTTTTGTAACACAGGCCTAAAGATGGTAAAGATGTTCAGAAATGTGCAGTGCTTTTGTGACGTGCTCTTTTATAAATTAAATTATATATCATACAAGTCTTCAAATCACAATTTATTTTAATCTTTAAGTTCCATACCACAGCTCTTATATATAGAATTGCACAATGAACTTGAAGATCTGCCTTCAGTGTGTGCGGTTTTCAAGACTTCTGACAATTCACCACCAATCACTAGTTATTGTAATATTAACAGAACTACCAACCCATCAATACATCTGAAGTTAAGGCCTGTATACACATGCAACACAGTATTTGTGGAAAAACAAACTGGCAATTGCCTGCCTGAAAAATTCAAATTTTCAAGGTCTGTTATAAGCTTACTGAACTCTGTGTATTTAGTGTCAGAGTAACGTAACCTGACATTTATTAGGGTACACACTACAAGGATTAAGTGATCACATTATAGCATCTCCAGATTCTGTGACTCAACTCTTTTGTTTTACCTTAAACAGTTATTCGTCTCACTACCTTCTTGACTGATGAGAGGTTCTAAAAAGGGCTCACAGTATGTTTGATAGCAATGTATCACACATACTGACTTGTGCTGTCCATTAATATTAAGACATTTTAAGAGTAATTTTAATGGGTTAATCGGTAAATCCTTTGATTATTTTTTAAATGAACTGAATAACTCACACTACCTTTTTCTTCAAAGGACTGTAAAAAAACAGAACTACAGACTCCGAAGGTAGAAAGGCATTCAAGTGCACACACTGCCCATAAAGTCCAGATCCACCTATGGCATGCGATTTCAAAACCTTTCATGTCTCTGGTGAATCAGGCCTCCAAATCAGCAGACCATGCATCAATCTGCCATTAAGCTCCTGTGAATGGACGGGATTAAAAGGCCAGCATGGCTAACAGCAGGTCTAGACTGGCTTACCGAAGATCAGTGTACCAGACTAGCCCTTACCTTTTTGATGGTGTACAAAGAGGTAGCTATTGAAATGACTGACATGAAGACAATGGCTCCAGCGTAATAGTAATATTCATCGGCACTCCAAAGAATAACACTGAAAAGTTGGAAGATGTAGAAAGGGTTCAGGACCTAGACAGGGCAAACAGACAATAAAAGCATGTGAGGATGTGATGGTCCACATTCATGAAATGCTAATCCTTAGGTCTATCAATCCTTTAAAGATTGCTGTGCCTCTGTTTTTATGTTTTGAATGTTCTGACATTTAGTTTTATGTGACAAGAATGCCGAAGCTATTAAACATGCTATTTTTCCTAAAGTAAACATGTTCACTTTTGAAACTGCTGTATGTTTCTATCACCATGCTGTCGATTACATCCAAACCATTAATACAAAATATGAACCATTTTAATACCAAATTAATGGCTTTCAGACTTTGATGAGCACATCCTGGTTTGTTTTATGACCAATTGTTTGGCTATAACATCTACTGCTTTAAGTTGAAATCTGACAATATCAACTTCCTACACTTCGCCAGAATCATTTTTACACTGCTACTGAAAAATGAAGTGGCCTACCTCTTTAATTAGCAGCTTGAAAACTGAAGGCACTTTCACTGCAATTTCATTCACTCCAAAAAACAATCTCCTGAAATAAATTGATAATAAAAAACAGGTAGAGTACTTCCTTTAGTTTTATCTCATCAGTATGGAGACATCAAAATGGCTTACATGTTTTCTAATGTAAATTAACATAAAAGACTCAACGTGTACTAGTCTTGAAAGCTCAATTAGTCTTTATGTGGGAATAAAATAAGTTTGTTTTCAACAGAAACGTCAAAATAATTTATTTATGAAAACTAACTTTAATAACATTATATCAGCATTGAGATGATTACAGTCTTTCGTTCTGCACAACTTGGTGTCGCGACCTGTATTTTAGTTCTCCACCCCAAAGATGCTGAAACAGCCACTGACTGAGGAATTACTAACAATCAGTCCATTAAAACTACTTTACTCGTCTCAAACAGTCATGCTATTACTACAAATTGAACATAACGGCACACTGTCTGAGAGATGTAATTATTTAATAATTCAACTTTGTCCGACTGTAATAATTAATAATTGCTTACATTTATATAGCTCTTTTCTGGACACTCCACTCAAAGCACTTTACAGGTAATGGGGACTCCCCTCCACCACCCATGTGCAGCATCCACCTGGATGATACTACATACCACTGGGTGATACCTATACTGCCTTTTCTTTTAACGCTTTCAGCTGTTTCCTGTTAAGAAAATTCTCCTTTCCACCTTTCCAGCATTTTACAGTAGAGCAGGGTCTTAACATTCTAAGGATTGGTTGCAGAGAACCAACACGAATATCCCAAATTTCCGTATAGCCGTATACCACCGCATAATGTATCATAGTATATCGTATGTTTGGACATAAGTAACCCTCCCTTTTATGATAATGAATGCACTAATGCATTTGCTTTAAGTTAATTTAAATAACAATGATCAAGTAAACAAAACAACAGTAATCACAACATAAACAACAGTCCCTCCTCTGTGTTCAGCCTGCACTTTCTCTCTCTGCCTCCGTGATTATCAAGCTGCACTGTAACCAGAAAGGTCAGTGAACCGTTCAAGTCATCCGCAGCCTTTCATCCTCCTCACTGCCGACACAGAACCTGGAGTGTTCGTTACAATATAAAGACAAGAGCACACTGAGATGCAGATGTCGGGTAGTGGGCACTTGGGCAGGGGACAGAAACGAAGCCAACTCACTAGCTAGATTCATCACACAATTGAAGTCCGTTGCGCAGCTAATTTGACCAGAACGAATCGCAAATAAGCCAATTGTGAATGTGAAATTTGTACACAGAGGCCTTACTGTATATACTATATTTAAAACTGGCTTTGGCCAATGCTAACACATTGCTTTTAACCTTTCCAGTTCCGCCTGCGACATTATCCTTCTGCTAGAATATAAAGCTTGCTCAAACTCACTCCACTGCTGTCGGCCCCTGCATGTTGGAGGGAGTTTTCTGTTACCGATTTTCAGTCGGAACCTGACAGTAGAGCCACCCGATCCAAACTACACACTTGCTCCAGGTTGACTAAATTGGCTTCAAAAAGATGGAAGCTTCTGGAAATGTTTGCGTTTCGGTTTGATCCGAGGCCGTTGAAATGAGTCATCTTTTTTACAAAACTTCACAGTTTTATCATAGTGTTTTGTGGCATCTGTGCAGCTCACTTCTCGCACGACTGTTAAGTAGGTTGCAGAACAATTACACGTTTGCCTGGGTGGTTGGTGTGGTGGCTTTGCCCATGACTTCCACCAGACCCTAGTTATGGGTCCAACCAACATCAAACATTCTAAATATCGCACCTTTAACTATTTTAACACCTCAGTATTTGGTGAAATGTTAAATTGGCCCCATTTAGACAAGTAAAGTATCTGAAGTGAACTGAATGTCCATTTTACTTTCCAGAAGGCCAGGGCATTTACTGATGTACTCATGTGGAATGGTACTCTGCAGCAGAATGCCAAGTACCCTAACTGTCATAGGTGGCTTACATGATAGCGTAAGTTTAAGCAGCTTAATACCAATGTCCTTTTGATTGCATCCCTCACACACTTTAAAATGCAGTATAACTCCCACTTGTTGGACTTGTGTCTAATGTCCTGACCACAACATTAACTGATATTGCACATTCTAGGTGGTGTTTCCTGAGTTCTTCATTTGTAGCAGGTCTTGTGTTTAATCAGGTCAGTTCTCCTGTTCAATATAAACTTCAATATAAACGGCTTCCACATCAATATAAAAGGCACCACATTTTTATCACTGAGCAAATCTACCAGAACACAAAAAAATGCTTTCCAGAAAATTAGTTTCACTAATCCAGCAATGCAATTAGATGCATTATTTTGATTGGTTTAAATGGAGAATTATTATTGCAACATAAAACAATGTAGTCCAAATTGCAGAGCCCTGGTAATAACGCATTATACCAAAATATAATTGCCTATAATTAAGTTTAACCCATTTGAAAAGTAAATTTAAAAAGGCAAAATCACATTATTAAATCCCTTACTCTATATCTGCTAGTGAGCAATAAACGTGGTGATCTCAATGGACACAGCTTACCTGTACTCCTGCTGGTCTTTGGTCAGCCCCATGCTGTGGTCATCATGGATGGAGGAGCAGGTGACTTCCAGGTCCTCCAGACCCCTGGAAGAGAACAGCACAGTGTGAGTGGTAGAGAGAGGACAGAAGGCAGTCAAACAGCAAACACAGATAGAGAGCTGCAGGGCTTTAAATCTATCCCACTAAATTTCTACAAGGAAAAAACAACACCCTCCTTGCGATTGCACTTTTTTTACTATCCAGTCCAATTAAACAAAACTAAAATACTAAAAATCTAATAAGACTTAGGAAACACAGAGATAATAAAAATGAGATAATGGTTTCACAGAGAGAATGCGTTAGAGGATATGGGGCATTTTCATTAAAGGAAAAATTAAATATTTCACATCACTTTATCCTTGACAATTCCAAAAATGATATTATGTGAACAACAAGAACAATTCTGGAAAAATTACTTGAAAATCATTTCTAGAAAAAATAATGAGGAAGATCTTACTTGAGTACTTCAAAATTCTGGACCATATCATTCCAATAATATGTTGTGCTGTGGAGTGTGAAATAGCGAACCTGAAAGGGAAATTCAAAACAGCGAGTTAAACAATTACCTCTCAAGTTTATACATCAGGATGTTGTTGTTTACAAACAACTCCTTCATATAAAGTGGAAAGGCCGAGCTTTAAACCAAACATTCAGAGGTACTATCGTACGCAATTTTAAAATGAAAACTTCGGCACACAAAATATGACACACATCTAGCTAAAACTTGCGTGCCCAAACTAGTGCAGTGTGGTGCTACAGCAAGTCAGGAAAAAAAAATTAACAGGTCTCATCTCCCACAGTATACAACAGCCTGCTCAAGAAGAGAGAAATTCTCACATCTTAAATACGGTAAGCTAATCAGGCACAGAATGGCTGTTGTCAAGGAAATATGCTGCAATGAACGGGTCTCCTTAAGAAATCAACTGTGAACCTCTATCAGTGCCTGCAGTGTTGAATTCACTGCTTGCTTTTAAAATATGCTGACAGACTGTTCCTGTGTGACCCTGTTTGAGTGTGTGGTGGTATTGGAGAACAGATTATTTCCGTTGTGGGAATAGGTGCTTCCGTGTTGTGAAAAGGCATCTGTACTATTTTCAGTGTGATTTTACAAGACAATCCTGAAAAGTTAACTCTTGAATTAAAATATGAAACTCGTTGCTTATGCTGCACAATTTAATCACAGGCATTTTACAACACTACATTTGAATTCAAAGTTCCATATGTACTTTTAGTGCTCTTTGCCATCCCGAAAAACAGCATAAACTGAAAAACTCAAATTTACTAAGCTGGCGTGTAGTACATCTATTTTCTATTCTATTTACTACATGTCTTGAATCATTTTCTTTTCCTGCCATCGTAAATCGGTTTTTGCAGTGTACACTCAGCTTAGGCGAAGCTAATATGAATGAAAAGGGTGTCTGATTTGTTATTTATTATATCTGTCCTTTTCCTTTCAGTCTTTACACACTAATTTCTATGACTTAAAACAAGAACAGAAGAAAGGTTACAGACAAGAGGAACCCATTCGCTAATTGACCCAGGGATCTCATCAATGCGTTTCGTTTAAGGAGCAATGGCACCCAGCTTCAACAGCGTGGCTGGATATGTTGTTCCACAAGCAATACTCATAGCCTGTTAAATCGGTCTTGAGCTGCAGATATAACCTCCTACCTGCACAGGCTGGTACTCGGCGTACTTCTTCACAAAACCCCTCGAGGGACTGTCTGTGGCGTGGGGGGTGTGACCGTTGGCCAGAGTTGTGTTGTCTTGGGAATCCAGGCTGTCAAAGGGAGACTTCCCGGGAGCCAGCATGACTCGCACCTTCGCTCGAAACCACGTCCTGAACTCATCCTGAAAATCAGAACCACTCCGGTCTTAACATTCCTCTAAGCCTGTATGGGTTTTGTTCTCTCAACCTTAACCACCCTCCTCCACCTGGTGGTCATTTACTCAGTTCTTCTCTCATCTCTCTGACCATCAGGGCTGATCCATTTCTGACTCCCTCCTTAATAACACCCCTCCGTTGAGAGTATACTCATAGACTGCTTGATGCGTATTTTCATTTCTGTAAAGTGCATTCTGCTACAGATTGGAATCTTGCAGCCTTGTATTTTAATACCGCAGTGTGTTTGGGTTATTGTATTGTGTGATATACTGTAATTATTAACTGTCTTCTTGGTTTTACCACTTTACACTATGAACTTTGCTCTATTAATAATTTACAAGCTACGTCTTTTCATTCACCTTGGATGAAGACCTGGACTAATTAAAGCCAATAAGTACATTTAAGAACATGTTGAGGAACGTGTCCTTATATCGGTTTGAGAAGTAAGGAGCACCCGTTTTCACCTTTAACCTGGTCTTGACATGTCTCAGAAGCTAAGAGCAGTTGGAACAAGTCAGTTCAAGGAGAGCCAGGTTTCTATTGAAAGTATTACTACTATTCCCTTGGGACCAGGATTTTTTCATCCCAATTATAACGACATACTATGGTGACGGGTGCTCTACAAAGCCAATCCATGGCTGAGATGCTATTCTGGAGTCCTGACTGCTCAGTTGTTAAAGATCCCTTGGCACTGAAGCTACCCCAGTATCCCAGAAAATTTCCACTCCAGGCTATTAAAATCTGGCCTACCTAAATTTCTCCTTTAACTCAACGGATGAGCAATTTCTCACTGCTCCACCCTCTCTGTTGTGGAGTACAGCCACTGGAGCAGAGCCAGGAGACCCCAGCAGTCACCCCATGGCTGGGGAGCTCTTTAGCCTTTGCTCGTGGGGACTGTGAGAAAAGTGTGCCTGCCGTTTTCTGTACGTACGGTGGATCTCAGCAGCACCATCTTAGCCTCTCTGATGGTAGTCCTAGTGCAGGTGCTCTTCACAAACCACTCCGGCATCCAGTAGAGGAGAAGCAGCAGGAATCCCCCTGTGCAGACCACCCCCACACCGACAAGGGCCAGCTTCCAGCGGCACAGCGTGTACCCAGAAATCTCCTGTAGGACGAGACGCATCGTGCATAACACACCCTGGGAACACCGAGGCTCAACTCTTACCAACCCCACTACACAATTAAGTATCCATGTCCGACCCTACGAGCTACACATCTCAGCAAAACATTTTTATGATTCTTCTCAGCGGGGTTGTGTTACAGGCTATTGATTGGCTTTTTGTGTCACTGATTTTTGAACTGCAAGGGAGCAATCAGAAAGTTCTGAACACACTCCCCTAACCCCCCCCAACGTGTACATGGGACTTCATATATATTCAGCTCACCATCTCATCCTCCTGGCCCTTGTTCACAATCTTCATGTCTTCCTTCTCCATTGTCCAGCTCAGTCCTGACGTTACCCACCTATGCACCACGGCTCCACTACAAGAAGACAACATTGCAAACTTCAAATGCAACTTGCACATAAGGCCACAAAGTATAAAATGTGCTCTTTACACACACCCTGCTTGTTTCAAGTATTCAACTTTAAATTTCTGATTAAAGATACCAGGAAAGAATGTCGACCAGGTATAAATCAAGTCCAAGTGTACTTCTGGAAGATACCGAACACTGAAAGGTAACAGGTGAGACGGCGACCCCAGTAATCAGTCATCTTTACTGTATTCCGTTCAATCTTTAAAGAGCAGGCAAAAACTTATGTACAGTACGTTTGGAAAGTACATATGTTTGGAAAGTCGTGTCATTTCTACTTGTCACAGAAACCGCAAAACCAATATGTGTTTAACCTGGGAATGCTTACTGACATGGTGCTGTGCTTCATTTATACAAAAGACAGAACACGTGCTTCTTTAGATTGTTTTCTTTCCCCAAAAAGAGGAGTGTGACGATATTCTATTGTTGTTAAAGTCAATGCTACTTTGCACAGGAAAATATTATTGCATTTATAATGCGATATATTAATATAGTAGGCAACACTGTTTACAAATTAACTGTTGCGTTTACATGGAATAATTTTCTCTTATCAATGCGATACTATCTCGTATAAATGAGATTTCTTTTTCTCCGTGGTGCTAATAAGCTTCCATAGAAACAACTGTACAAGAGTATAAGGACAGAAAATATACCAAGTCTTACCAGCCATGTACAGGACACAGCTACTGCTGTTCTTTCGAATGCGTCTTTATTCATCAAACGACATTTAGGTTAATCTTTACAAGACTGTGTACAGCTGAATTATTATCATACAACGGAGCATCCTCTTGAGAAGGCGACAGCTATCACTCATGAACTATTACACATCAACTGCAAGACCAGATTCACTATTTAAACCTGAGGCAATGACCATCACAGACTAAAGGACAAGGTGCAGCAGCATGTGTGTGCAACAGTATGTGTACTGCCTTCGCAGACCTCTTTCTTTAATAATCAAAGGAAAACAAATCATGATATCTGAACAGCAGGGAAGTCTTGGCAGAAAAGACTTGGTTTGAGAGCAAATGACAACACCACAATACACTTCAGGAAGTCTCAAGTACTACAAAGAGCTACAAAAAACTGTTGTATAAAACATTGTGGGCTACAGTGGGGGTTTCAATGAAAGTGTTTTATTTACGTGTACATATAAATTTAGGATAAAAAGAGTTCTATCAATACACATCACAGGAAATTAAATGAAATTAAATGAGAAAGGGCATTTTCTTTTCTCCTCCAAACCTAATAAAGCAAAAAATTGATTCCCCAGACATGATGAAGGCAGATGCTTATTGCTGCCTTAAACACTACAATCCTGACCTTCGGATATGTTCACTGACTTTACAATCACGTCAAACTGCAACACATGTCCTTCCTATACAAAAAAAATGTAGTTAGTTCCAGTGCACTAGCTGATTATTTAGTAACTGCGTTCTGGAGTTACATTTAAGGACACAGGTTACCACAGAGTTTCTCCGGCATCACATATTTAATTAAAAACTGCTAACAATGGCCATACACGTGAACAGAAATATCAGTCTCAAACAGGTCCGGTGGTCCGGGCCTGAACAGGTGACCTCAGAATGACTCTGTTGGACACCGGATGCCAGCTGGGCTTAAGAAATAAGAGCTAGCCCTGACAAATCAAATAATCGCTCGCTGGCAGGCCTCGCGTAGTACAGCCGCACCAGAGCACAGCAAGAACAAATACTGTGTGTGCAGAGCTTAAAGACTTCCTCTGCAAGCCATTGCTGCCATATATCTATTTATATAATGTGTGAAATACCAAAATAATAAAGGGAGAATTACAGTAACCAAGGGGAATGCTCTCCCCACCTTTATTTAATTAACTGATTAAGCGAATTTAATTATAAGGAACACTCAGTCATGGCAAGAGAGAACATGAACTTGTCCGCACTTGTTTTAGGATGTGGACTCTGGCAGCATTGATGACAGGCAAGTTTAGACTTCCTTCCATTCACCACAGTGGGTAAAATAAAAAAAGTACTTTCACAATGCAGTGATGTTTCAATGAGTAGTGTTCGCCCTAAGGATGAAGTTCAATTATGGAGGAAGGTACTGCTTTAACCTTCCATATGCATGATGCAGAGACCAATCCATCTAATTTTCAACATCCTACTTCAACATCTATTCAGAGACACAATTTCTGGGAAAGTGTTACTTGATTACGTTTTTAACTATAAACGATAAAAAAAAACTATATATCCATCCAAAGTTTATATAACGTATAACACTGTAGTTAGTCAACAAAGTTAAAATATCCAAGTAAGTGTCATATATATATCATCTATATTAACCATTAATTTCAATCACAGACCATAAAAATAAACAACACTAACAAACAAATTATACCATATAAGCCATAGTTTTCGGAAATGTGCTCCTCAGAAACCTGTAATATGTGCAGTGGGATACAGCAAGCACAATAATTCAGTCAATGCAGATTTATGTAGCTTGTTAATATCAACAGCAAGGATGCACAGGAGGTGGAAACTGTCAGAATCATCCTCAATAGGTTTTTCCTAGCTTTGCAGTCAATTAAGGTTTAATGCCGATGTGCACACCTTGTCTAGGAACTAACATTATCATAATGAGCCTGTTTAGCAGGTGAGGATCAATCTGAAAGAAACTGGTACTGGATCCTTCAGCAGAAAATTTGTATTTGCATTTATATCTCTTATAACACCCAGCAAACAAACATTTTTTGTGTGAAATGCCTAACACTGCATCAATCACTGCATATATAATGTATGCATAAGAAGTTCAGACCTATTTGAGAACTTAGTGTCTACCACTTGAGCATTGTTACTTATAACCAAATCTGCAAAGACTTAGAAAACCTATGATTTTAGCATTCAGAGTGCAAACGATGAGCTAGGGAAGTTATTAGTGAAGTTCAACTTTCAGTAAGCTGAGCATCATTGACAGCCAGTGAAAATTCAACAACATATTAATTAATAACTTAAGGACATTCAGTGCTACTAATAATTTTCATATTTACAGTATTTGCATTATCTAATTAGCAATGCAAATCTAAGATTACTTTAAAACACGCAAATCGAATTTTCTACCAGTAAAAAATCTGATAAACTGTAAATAAAAAACACCCAATTAACTCACACTTTTTTTCAGAAAGTCTGTCACCATTTGCCATTCTAGTTGTTTAAATGGGAAATCTAGTCTCCCATTTGCTTCACGCTAAATAATTAGTAATGAAACAATCACGGTTCTAAATATCAATTCAGGCACCCCTAAATCAGTGTCTAAATTAAATAACAGGCATCAAGTGTATCAGTGTATCAAGTGTATCAGACAAAATCTAGTCTGAAACTATCGCAAATTCAATTCTAACAGAAATTATCAGCAAAGATTAAGTTTGACAAAAAGCGGAAAAATATCAAATCCACTTTATCATCATATTCTAAAAGCTGACATTTTTTACATAAAAAACTAAAGAAAATGAATGTACATATACTATAAAACAAATATATGATAGGCTTGTACAAACCTGTAATTCCCTGGATATAAAGATACTATATTGAGAGGACTGTATCCTACAATGACCTCATCCAAAACAGAAAACACATGAATTGAAAGGTTTTCTATACTCTACCTTGCTTGAGCCACAAGGGTGTAAATGCTGTGAGCTGTGACCTGTGCGTGAGAAATGAATTTCAGCAAAGTTCTACAGTAGCTTTCTCCTGGCCCTGCTGAATGTGTTCCCAGTGGGAGATCCAAACTCGCTGATCTTTTACGTTCTTAAAATCTAAAGGTCTGCGAGCGCTGCCTTTTCTTCCCCCCCAAAAAAAAGAAGGATTAGCACACTGTTAGGCAGTTTTTGGCAGGGCGTGCTGGTTTTCAACAATTGCGGGGTGTTAGCTGAGCTGCTCAGGCAGAGGATGTGCCCCCAGCAGTCTTCCCTTGCGGTGAATGTGGCCCAGTCTGTCTGAGCGGAGCAGAGAGGGTGTGCTGTGGCCGCTGAGCTCCATGCGCAACGCCGCTGGCCCTGATCTTATCAGCATGGCAAAAACTCTATAGGATATTTTCCCTGGGACCAAACCCTTCCTTCTATTTACAGCAGGAGGCAAAGCATCGGGCATTTTTGTGGTGGAATTTAAGTATATATATTTAAAAAAAAAACAAAAGAAAACAAAACAAAAAGCGAGGGTGTCCCTTTTTTTTTTATAACCGGGGTGGGATTCCCACTGCTGTAAACTAAAGATAAAAAAAGCAAAGGAAAATGATTTCACGTCTGTTGCCTTTCGCCCTGTGACATACAAAGATTTATGAGACTTAACGGAGAGCAAAGACTCAGAGAGCAAAGTATTGTGGGGTGCACAGGACCTTGCAACAGAATAATCAATCCGTTGCAGGATGAAATCCAGCGACAGCTTTACCAGCTTCTTATAGATTCCTGATGTTCCGTAAGTTAATATTTTCAGTTTCTCGCATGAAGCTTCTTCTCTGCTCCAGTCTTCTCTTCACATGAACATTTCATATTGTATTTTATTTAAATTTAAAGGTGGTTTAGGACATTTTAACTGTTCTTTATAAATGGATATGTAACATACTACTATACTATGTCAGACTAATTGCTGACCCCCGTGCAAGTCATGGTATTTTTTACTATTTAGAAGTTCTACACTTAAGCCTATTGTGTTGAATTAATAGGTTTTATTTATAGATTTCAATGGAGTTAAAGAATACGCTACAATTGGACTAAGGAGCTTTTTCCTTTCATGGAATTACAAAAAACAGAAGAAACACAAAATGTAAGTAGTGAAAAACATGTTCTGGAAAAACACCTAATTACAGATGGCCTGGACAGTGGTTAGTACCAATACAAGAGAAAGGTTCAGTTCAGCTTACCTAGAGACCCAGGGCACAGAGCCCTGAGGACAGTCCCTCCTGCTGCTGAGATAGTGCTGTCTCACTGGGGCCAACCTGGAGAGGAAAGGAAGCACACCTAAAATTAGTTACTTGGGATTACTTGACACTCGCAAACATTACATCCGACAGGAGAGGCTGTTCTTCTGCCACAACTCCCCACATTCTCAGAAATTAATGAGGCAAAACGACAAAACCTTCAAGTCTGACCGACACAAAACTGCTCCCCACGAACTTCAAGAAAAAGAAACAACAAACATGACTTGTGCTTCAGTGCGTAAGGTACATTACAGATCGAGCTCGACTGGGCAAGCCTTCAATTATGGAAACTGCCGCGGCAGACTTCGCGGTCATCTTAACCCATGACACTCCGTCAAACCCTCTGCTTGCAGAGGCCAGGGTACCCATTGTCTTGACCTCCCTTGCCAAATAAAACATTTGTAGCTTTTCTTCTGGAAAAGAGCATTTTTAAGATATACCTATATATAAATAGGGTGTTTTGATCGATGCAACAGTGCACAGGTCTTCCAAGTACATTAAATTGAATATTCCTGAGCCAAAAAATGTCCGCTTGAACAGAACAAAATCCTCACAAAATCATGTGTCAGCATGAAAAACCTCAACATTTTCAGCACTCAGTGCACTTTAACACCAGAATGGCTGTTGATTAATCACTTTATCAAGGGGAGTGAGGAATACGTTCACTTACAGTGTTCAAACATCTACAGCACTTTCCCATGCTGAATATTGCAGGAATGTGGAAGCAATTCAGAAAATGTCAGATTTTCGCAAATCCACACTGATTTCCAGGCCCTGTAAAGTGTATTTTTAGAACAACAAAGAACATGGATTTTAAATAGTGAGTAAAGGCTTTTTGTGGCATTTTGACCAATTGATCATTCATGACGAACTGTGATATACAGCAGTCAGTCGTTCAAGTATAAGAACTCATCACTTCATTAGTGAGGGTGTGGTTTGGGCACAGGTGATGAGGGGTTTTAACCTGTCAAATGTCAAGCCTGTCCAAAGGAACTCATTGACACCTAAGACTAACCTTTCCTGCATTTTCGTCCCAATGTAACATGAATCCAGCACACAACACACACCCTTTTTCTGCTCACGTACTGTAACAGCTAGGTGAATGGGAAAGAATCCCATTATCCACAACCTGGTGCACCAGGTGTACAGTTTGTGCTGCTTTTAACTGTGGGCACAGATAATTCTAACTTGTGACATTATCAGACGACCCCTTATTGATGGTAATCTGTTGTTGAACAAACCTGTTCAACAAAATGTCAGTGCTACTATTACAAAAAGCAGTCCTATGTCCTAAGTTGCTGTAAAACTTGTTGGAGATGTATACTTTCTGTTGATGCCATGTATACAAGTCAGACACTTTCACAAAAAGCTGATGAATAAAAAGTAACATTTTCAGTATTAATCATTACTTTGTAGCTAGCCAAATAGAACAACCGGTATTCAGTACATTCTTCTTTCACATGATCCATGTGTCTGAGTGACTTCGAACACTGATATTTTCCCGATTCTAGCAAAACTGCCTTTCTATAGTATTCCCAAATTAGGTGCTTCAGTTTTCTAAAAGTATTCTTCAACTCCTGTCACACATGCAATTACCACAGAGGTTAGGTCATACTGGCAAACCATATCATGTCTGCTATCAACTTGTTCACTAAGCTTTGTCTGTTCCTTTGTCTTTCCTTTTGAGAACTAGAATGTGAAAACAAAAACTGAGGGAAAAAAATCTGGCAACAAAATCGTATTTCTTCCATTTTTTTTTCTTAGCTGAAAAAACAAGACAAGTTACATACATACTCTGAATCTTTGTCACATGATATGCTCTACTTCAAAAAATATAAATAGCCCGTTCATTCTAATTATGTGAGCTAATTGGAAGCACAACTACAACACCCCATCTTGGCTAATTCAATAAGGGTTTGAGCAATTGTTAGTCTAACCCTAATGTTACTCCAAAGCCTCTATGCTCTCAGATACAGGTTTTTACCTCAATGATCTCTTCCATGAACACAGCACACAAACCAGTCCTACGATCAAAGTGAAACTACCAGTTATTACAAAACGACACAGTGGAATATACTGTAAGGCTGCAAAGATTTTTTTTTAAAAATTTGCGTCTGCCTGTCTCAGGGCTTCACATAACCTTGATGAGTTCTTTTACTATGACATATGCAAGAAAAAGGCACTTCTGAAACAATTTAAAAAAAAATCATTCCTGATGAAGACTAGCAAAGGGTGGTTTGTAATATTGGATATTTCATTTCTGATCCTGACGCAGGTCAATAAAATCACACTGATATTGGACCTGTATAAGATAAAAGAAGATACTTGTTAAATAGTTTGTGGAGAGTAATCAATCAGTTTTGCAGGTCAAAGAGCTTCAGTGGGATGGATTGCTCCCCAGTCTAAAAAAAAATTAAAAAGCTTGACTTTTCAGCAGTAAGTGTATTAGCTATAGGTCTCTTTTTTGCCAAAGCCTTTGAATGAAATACAAATCAGGAGTTACACAGAAAATGGACAAAGTTCTAAGAAGAATTCAATGTTGCAAGTTTTTCTCCTTCAGGAAAATGAAAGGCCCCAGACAAAGCCCCTGATATGATCTTGTCTGAATTATAAATAGTTCTTTCTCTCTTGCACTTCTCTATTGCTATTGTTGCATGTCATTTGATTAGTATTGTCTTCCTTATCATATCACTGAAGTGAATACAAATATTATTCACTTCCTCCAGGAAAACGCCTGACTTGGCAATAAATCCCGATACTAGCTTGAAACCTCAAAGGTAAAAAAAATGTTACAATTGAAGCACAATAGTCAATACTGTACAATTAAACAGTATTTGAACATATTTATTACAAAGAGAAAGAAGTCATTATTTAATGCACAAAATATACAGCAGATCTGATTTCTCAAAATGGTTAAGCCATACACTACTTCAGTGGACCGATGTTGCAGGTATTTGCATCCTCAAATCTATTTTCATTTTATGGTCGCTTATAATTCATGCTCTTGATTTATGAAGAAAATACTATATATTATGGAGAGTCTGATTTGGTAAAGGATTAGTTGACTGTGCCAACCCATAGTGGGCTTAAGACCTACAATATAAAAAACAGAATGAAAAATCAAGTGTTTTGAAGACAATTATATGCCCATTTTAGCATACTGGTGTCATCCAGGATTTGGATATATTTTTCGAAACCCAGACTTATAAATTAAACAGCCTCTGCTTGTCATAAGGGAAGCAACAAAAACAAGTGGTTTGAGTGCATTTCCAGTCATTTCTTCTCCTCAATCAAAAATATTCCAGTAAAACAAGACTTCTTTCATTCACATTCTACTTTGCACATGCACTTGGTTGTGCCCAGCGACAGACTGGTGTCCCGCCCAGGGTGTATCCCGCCAAGCGCCCGTTAAGCTGGCCAGCTAAGGTTCCCACCCTTGACTGGATGAAGCGGTAAGAGAGTGGTGGATGGACGTGCCCACTGCGCAGTTAGAATTTCGTCATGTGTGGCTCCCCATTGTCCCAGGACTCAACCGGCAGAGGACGCACAGATCCAGTGGCTCAAACTCAAGATCCTGCATGGCACTCCCCGAAACGACCTTTCTGGAACCTTCCTACATCATAAAATGCAAAAAGCCGCACTCCAAAAAGTGTTTTGCGTTATAAAAAGATGGAAGACTACCAAAACCTTCAAAGAGCCCAAAGCAAACCTCAGTTACTTGCATTACTCGAAGACAGTGTAAGAACAATTGTACCCCCTTCAAAGCCATGTTCCGCATAGTTAACAATAAGCATGACATAATGCCATTAGCAAGAATTCATGGAAACTTTCGGAGGAAAAGTTCTTTGCCGTATCCATGCTTTCAGCTCAATACGCTTTCTTTATCACTTCCTCTCCTAATCGCAATCTATTATAATGAGGGCTTTTGTTCCCGGACACACTCAGAACACAATATGCCCAGTATAACACGGATCGTCTGACCTTGGCCCAGAATTTGCCACGTTGAGATTTTAAGGTTAAGTGTCTTTTCTTATTTTTCTCATCAGTCCCAGCCATGAATCTGAACCACCTCTCAGTTCTTTTGTTCTGTGGCTTTTACACATACATGCTGGATTCAAAACACTAAACCAGCGAGGCCAGCCATGAATACAGGTATCTATCAAACCAGGAACCCTCACCTCCTCCACATTTCTCATCAGCTGACAACCACCGCAGGCAGAATGTTGCCATATCCTTGATCAACCAATCAGAATGTTCCCTGAGTCATGAGAAACAGATGAATGGCTTCATTGATGGCAGCAATATAAGCTACAAAGTTTACTATGAGCTTGTCTTATGTATGCTTTTAAGAGTCAAATTTACAGTTTGTAAAATCAGTACATCAGCAATAAACTGTAAATTTTCTTTCAAATGAAAATGTCAACTCTGTTACTCCTCTAAACATTGCACCACAATCAATAAAGGGCTATTTGTGCACAAATATATAAATAAATACTTTATACATGCATTTGAACTGCTCCTTAATTTCCCAATTTCCCAATTTGCCTTAGTGTAGCTGTTGCGATGTGTGTTTGTACCCTGTAGCACAGAACAGGTTAGGCTATAAGATAAGACTAAGCAAGTTACAGTACCTAGCTGTCCCACATAAAAAAGGTAAGATTTTGTCAGAGTTGTAGCATTATAATTGTCTTGCACTGGGTTTGGCAGCGGGGTTCAAAACATTTACATGTCAATAATTTTCCTTAACACATTTCCTCTCATTCATCTCTTATTCTTTTTATTTTTACCGGGAGAATAGTCAACAGTCCAGAGCACAAGGAAATCTAGAAATTGCCTAAAAAGAAGGCTTATGCAATAGCTTTAAGGCTATAGTAGAGAGGCAGTCATGGTAAGCAAACCAAAAGCCTCTTTCTGAAATGTTGTCCTGTCATGACAAGTCTCTTTCTTGGTGCTGGACTTTGCTCTGAAGATATTCATTCTGCATATTATTCTTATCTGTGCCAGGACAGAACAAAGTC